CCTTATGAAGCTGGTTGAGAGAATGCCAAGAGTGTGCAGAGCTGTCATCAAGGCAAAGGGTGGCTACTTTGAAGAATGTAAAATCTAAAATATATTTTGATTTGTTTAAAACTTTTTTGGCTACTACATGATTCCATATGTGTTATTTCATAGTTTTGATGTCTTCACTATTATTCTACAATTTAGAAAATAGTAAAAATAAAGAAAAACCCTTGAATGAGTAGGTGTGTCCAAATGTTTGACTGGTACTGTATATATATATATGGTCCTCTGTAGCTCAATTGGCTATTTCAGCCACACCCGTTGATGACAGGTGTATAAAATCGAGCACACAGCCATGCAATCTCCATAGACAAACATTGGCAGTAGAATGGCTTTACTGAAGAGCTCAGTGACTTTCAACGTGGCACCGTCATAGGATGACACCTTTCCAACAAGTCAGTTCATAAAATGTCTGCCCTGCTAGAGCTGCCCCGGTCAACTGTAAGTGTTGTTATTGTGAAGTGGAAACGTCTAGTGGAAAGCCTTCCCAGAACAGTGGAGGCTGTTATAGCAGCAAAGGGGGGGACCAACTCCATATTAATGCCCGTGATTTAGGAATGAGATGTTCGACGAGCATGTGTCCACATACATTTGGTCATGTAGCGTATGTCCAGAAAACCTGATTTAACACCATCAGCAAATACACACTGTGCTCCAACCTTTAAATCCTTTTCAAACCAGCTACATGCAGCCTGTCCAGCCTCTGAATAAGTAATGAGTTATCCACAGGGTCAAAAGCTTTAGACAGGTCATTAAAAAAGGGCCGCACAGTGTTTCTTCTTACCCAAACAATTAAGAACATAATTTAAAACCAAATAAGTAGCAGAGATGGCATTATGACCTGGTCTGAAACCCGACTGGTGTACATTTAGAAATACATTTCGTAGTTAAAAAGGATCTAATTTGAGTATTTACCAATAATTTTTGCTTGGCAAGAGAGTTTGGAAATGGGGCGCTAATTATTTAGGTCACACGGATCACCACCTTTGAGATGGGGAAGTATATGGGCCTCCTTCCAGACCCTGGGGATGCTACCAGGAGGAGTATATGGGCCTCCTTCCAGACCCTGGGGATGCTACCAGGAGGAGTATATGGGCCTCCTTCCAGACCCTGGGGATGCTACCAGGAGGAGTATATAGCCGGCTTCCAGACCCTGGGGATGCTACCAGGAGGAGTATATAGCCTCCTTCCAGACCCTGGGGATGCTACCAGGAGGAGTATATGGGCCTCCTTCCAGACCCTGGGGATGCTACCAGGAGGAGTATATGGGCCTCCTTCCAGACCCTGGGGATGCTACCAGGAGGAGGTATATGGACCTCCTCCAGACCCTGGGGGATGCTACCAGGAGGAAGTACTATAGCCCGGCCTTTCAGCCCCTGGGGGATATGCCTAACCATGAGGAATATATAGGGGCTCCTTCCGACCCTGGGGATGCTACCAGAGGAGTATATGGGCCTCCTTCCAGACCCTGGGGATGCTACCAGGAGGAGTATATGGGCCTCCTTCCAGACCCTGGGGGATGCTACCAGGAGGAGTTAATATGGACCTCCTTCCAGACCCTGGGGATGCTACCAGGAGGTAGTATGGACCTCCTTCCAACCCTTGGGGATGCCTACCAGGAGGAGTTATATGGGCCGGCTTCCCAGAACCCTGGAGATGCTACCATGAGGAGAATATCGCCTCCTTCCAGACCCTGGGGATGCTACCAGAAATAATTGTAAGGTTAAAATATATGTTAAAGATTCCACAATCAGAGGAGCAGAAAGCTGCAGAAAGACAGGATCAAGCAAAACAGCCCCAGTGGATTTTCTTTTACATCAATCTTAAGCAGGGCGTATAGCACATCAGTAGAAAGTTGTCGAAATGAAAACAAAAGATTCACTAGGAGTTGAAAAGTTCACAGAACTTCCATCGAGCCAACTGGAGGCTGTGAGAGGGGCAGGCAGTCGACTGGCTGACCAGGGTCAGTTAAACCACAATTTCTTTCAAATAAAAAGTCTGGCACAACTTGCTTAGGCAGGGAAGGAGAGGAATCTCCACGCTTCAGTGCATTAACGGTTTTCCAAAATATTGACCGATCACCAGCAGTCTGAGATAGAACTTAGAAAGTAGCTAGATTTCTAGATTTAGATTTCTAGATTGAGGAAGTGCATCTATTTCTCAATTACCTGAAAAACTGCAACTCAGTTACAGTCTGATGATTTTTTGGGGGGGGTAGTGATATTTAGAGAACATGATGCCACAAGCGTTGATTTCACATACAGTACCAGTCAAAAGTTTGGACACACCTGCTCATTTAATGGTTTTTCTTTATTTTTTTTACTATTTTCTACATTGTAGAATAATAGTGAAGACATCAAAACTATGAAATAACTCATATGGAACAAAAAAAGTGTTAAACAAATCAACATATATTTTATATTTGAGATTCTTCAAAGTAGCCACCCTTTGCCTTGATGTCAGCTTTGCACACGCTTGGAATTCTCTCAACCAGCTTGACCTGGAATGCTTTTCCATCAGTCTTGAAGGAGTTCCCACATATGCTGAGCACTAGTTGGCTGCTTTTCCTTCAATCTGTGGTCCAACTCATCCCAAACCATCGCAATTGTATTGACGTTGGGTGATTGTGGAGGCCAGGTCATCTGATGCAGCACTCCATCACTCTCCTTCTTGGTCAGATAGCCCTTACACTGCCTGGAGGTGTGTTGGGTCATTGTCCTGTTGAAAAACAAATGATAGTCCCACTAAGCGCAAACCAGACGGGATGGCGTATCGCTGCAGAATGCTATGGTAGCCATGCTGGTTAAGTGTGCCTTGAATTCTAAATAAATCACTGACAGTGTCACCAGCAAAGCACCCCCACACCATCACACCTACTCCTCCATGCTTCACGCTGGGAACTACACATGCGGACACGCTTACCTACTCTGCGTCTCACAAAGACACGGCGGTTGGAACCAAAAATGTCAAATTTGGACTCATCAGACCAAACGACAGATTCCCACCTCTCTAATGTCCATTGCTCGTGTTTCTTGGCCCAAGCAAGTCTCTTCTTCTTATTGGTGTCCTTTAGTAGTGGTTTCTTTGCTGCAATTCGGCCATGAAGGCCTGATTCACGCAGTCTCCTCTGAACAGTTGATGTTGAGATGTCTGTTACTTGAACTCTGTGAAGCATTTATTTGGGCTGCAATCTGAGGTGCAGTTAACTTTAATGAACTTATCCTCTGCAGCAGAGGTAACTCTGGGTCTTCCATTCCTGTGGCGGTCCTCATGAGAGCCAGTTGCATAAAAGCTTGATGGTTTTTGCAACTGCACTTGAAGAAACTTTCAAAGTTCTAGAAATGTTCCGTATTGACTGACCTTCATGTCTTTAAGTAATAATGTACTGTCTATTTGCTTATTTGAGCTGTTCTTGCAATAATATGGACTTGGTCTTTTACCAAATAGGGCTATCTTCTGTATACCCCCCCTACCTTGTCACAACACAACTGATTGGCTCAAACGCATTAAGAAGGAAAGAAATTCCACAAATTAACTTTTAACAAGGCACACCTATTAATTGAAATGCATTCCAGGTGACTACTTCATGAAGCTGGTTGAGAGAATGCCAAGAGTGTGCAAATCTGTCATCAAGGCAAAAGGTGGCTATTTTGAAGAATCTCAAATATAAAATATATTTGGATTTGTTTAACACTTTTTTGGTTACTACATGATTCCATATGTGTTATTTCATAGTTTTTATGTCTTCACTATTATTCTACAATGTAGAAAATAGTAAAAAAAATAAAGAAAAACCCTTGAATGAGTAGGTTTGTCCAAACGTTTGACTGTTACTGTACGTTGTAATGATGATGTTGTAATCAGCAATGTCAATATCCTTATCTGGGATCGAGCCTTTTTTAGCCAAGACTCTGTTATTGCAGCAGTTTAAATACCCTTCATTCCATTCACATAGGTAGCATGTGTTGTCCTTCATATACAATTAAGTACACAGCTTCGGACACAATATTTCCATTTCAGCCTGTTACATAAACTGGTAACACTAACAACAAACAACTGTAACAAAACATACATAGTTCATTTAATTTACAAAGTGGTTTGTATACATGATTATACCATTTATTGTGCATTTAAATAAACAGATTAAACCCCCTTTATCCGGTTAATAATAACTGAAAAGTGACAGTATTGATCCCCAGTGTTGAACAGGGAGCTTAAAATATTGACGATCTCTCAGACAACCAAGTGCACCAGGGTTGGAATCAATTCCATTTCAATTCCAATCAATTCAGGAAGTACACCGACATTCCAATTCTCTTCAATGCTTTTCAATTAGGAAAATGTGGAATTGGAATTTGGTTTACTTTCTGAATTGACTGGAATTTAAAATGGAATTGACCCCAACCCTGAAGTGCACTTCGGTATCAGGAATGTTCTCTGGTACAGTGGTTTAGTGTCATGGTAAAAAAACTTTCATCATCAGTGACAACTTTTGTGATCAACTTAAAGCCATGCTCCGTTACTTTGGCGACTACTTTGGACATGGACAGTAGTCGTGGGGGTTGGGTATGGCAGTACCGCAGAGTTCCCCATGGACAGTAGTCGTGGGGGTTGGGTATGGCAGTACCGCAGAGTTCCCCATGGACAGTAGTCGTAGGGGTTGGGTATGGCAGTACCGCAGAGTTTCCCCAAGCCTCAAATGGAATGTTAGTGTAACGCTGTAGTTCTGTCCAAAGAAATACATGGTTCCGTCCATGTTCAGCTCATACCTGCTAAATTAGGAACAGATAAAATAATAAATACAATAAAGATGTTTAGGGGCTCAGCTGTTAGTGGTAGGGCAAAGGGGGGGAAGAGGACTGAGGGTTAAGGGTGGAATATTAATGTAACACTCGAGTTCCATGTTCCGTCCAGCTACTGGGGTGAGGTATTAGGAACAGGTGAAATGATAGGGCACGGGGGCTAGGGGTGAGGTATTAGGAACAGGTGAAATGATAGGGCACGGGGGCTAGGGGTGAGGGGCTCAGGTCTCTGACTATCCTGTTGAGGCTGGAGACCTTCTCTTCCAGTAGGAAGTTCTTCTTCTCTGCTACTTTCTGTCTCTGCTCGGTCATCTCCAAGGCCTTCAGCAGCTGGGCGTTCTCCACGTACAGGTCCTTGATCAACGAATCAGCTTTGCCGTTCTTGTGGAGCTAGAGACGGAACGGAGAGGGAACGTGACCAATCTCTCCTTGTTACTGCATGTAGTCTATCCCTCTTTCCAACACCATTATTTTCTTTGTCATCATCCAAGAGACATGTGCTTGCTGTTAGCAACCATCACCAGTAAAACTAATACTTACAGCAAACTGATAAACATAGAAATAAGACTGTTGAAGAGATTACAGGAAACCATTTTTTTTTAGATATTGCAGCTGAACGTCAACATCAAAAGAGAAAATACAGCTATAACGCGTGTACCTGATCTTTGAGTTGGCAGACCTTCTCTTTGAGCAGCAGCTTGACGTTATGCAGCGACAGCTCGATCTCCCTCATACGTTCCTCCATCTTCATCATCATCATCATCGTCGCCCTCTCATCCTGGTGATGGAGAAGAGGTACACAGATGAGACAGGGTTTAAAAAAAATAAATAATCAAATGTAGAGAATAATCTATGGCCTTAAATCACTGTGTGTCATTTTACAGCAACTTGCTTGATATCCTTTAGTTCTGCCCCATGTTTTTGGGTTGAACCATCTTTGTGTATCATCTGGCAATGTTCAAAAGGAAAGAAAGGGGAAATACACTTGGTTTAATTACACAAGGAAATACTTTTAGAAGTACTATTTGTCTGGCTGTATGAACTGCAACATACTCATAGCTGAGTAATATACTGTAAATACTCATAGCCGAGTAATATACTGTAAATACTCATAGCTGAGTAATATACTGTAAATACTCATAGCCAAGTAATATACTGTAAATACTCATAGCTGAGTAATATACTGTAAATACTCATAGCCAAGTAATATACTGTAAATACTCATAGCCGAGTAATATACTGTAAATACTCATAGCCGAGTAATATACTGTAAATACTCATAGCTGAGTAATATACTGTAAATACTCATAGCTGAGTAATATACTGTAAATACTCATAGCCAAGTAATATACTGTAAATACTCATATCTGAGTAATATACTGTAAATACTCATAGCCGAGTAATATACTGTAAATACTCTATAGCCGAGTAATATACTGTAAATACTCATAGCTGAGTAATATACTGTAAATACTCATAGCTGAGTAAATACTGTAAATACTCATAGTCGAGTAATATACTGTAAATACTCATAGCCGAGTAATATACTGTAAATACTCATAGCCGAGTAATATACTGTAAATACTCATAGCCGAGTAATATACTGTAAATACTCATAGCCGAGTAATATACTGTAAATACTCATAGCCGAGTAATATACTGTAAATACTCATAGCCGAGTAATATACTGTAAATACTCATAGCCGAGTAATATACTGTAAATACTCATAGCCGAGTAATATACTGTAAATACTCATAGCCGAGTAATATACTGTAAATACTCATAGCCGAGTAATATACTGTAAATACTCATAGCCGAGTAATATACTGTAAATACTCATAGCCGAGTAATATACTGTAAATACTCATAGCCGAGTAATATACTGTAAATACTCATAGCTGAGTAATATACTGTAAATACTCATAGCTGAGTAATATACTGTAAATACTAATAGCTGAGTAATATACTGTAAATACTCATAGCCGAGTAATATACTGTAAATACTCATAGCTGAGTAATATACTGTAAATACTCATAGCTGAGTAATATACTGTAAATACTCATAGCTGAGTAATATACTGTAAATACTCATAGCTGAGTAATATACTGTAAATACTCATAGCTGAGTAATATACTGTAAATACTCATAGCAAAATGATTGTGTTCTATGCGGTAATCTATTCTTACAATAAGAAAGATGTGGTGACGAGATTCCATCTGAGAGAGGACACCATCGGAGTATGTGGTAGCTTTAACGCCGAGGAAGAAGGCCAATGAACACAAAACACATGAAACTAGATGCTTTATTTTGTCTTGATTATTTTCCAGTGAAATACATTCTAGTGCATTTATTAAAAAGTGACATCACAGCTAAATAAATAAATACATAAATAATAGATAAAAACGAATAAATAAATTTACAATTATTTGATCCAAAAACTTAAATACAATCTACAAACAACATAAATAATGAATAAAATAATGATATACATAAAAAGTCAAAACACACTAGAGAATAAAAACTGTACTTCTAAAGACTCAGACCTCTTATCAGACCTTCTACAGTAAACAGGAAGCCGCATTAACATAACAATACAACCAATGGAAGAACATGAATCAAAACAGTCGCAAAATTATAATGAACATGTGACCATTCGTTTTTACTATCAAACTATTGTAGAGTTTAATACTGTTGGTAACTAACTGGTACCGTTTACAATAAAACAACAGTTGTGAGAGGTGAACAGGTCAACCAACTAAAAAGGTTATTCAAATCTTTGTGACAAAGATAAAAAAAAAAAAAAAAATATCAGTTGACATTTTGACGCTTGTTGGTTTTAAGTGCAAAAAATATAAATATGCAGGTCATCTTGAAAAAAATAGGTCCAATAATACATTCTGTTGAAACTATGAATCTACTGCAATCAGTGTATATTTAATGGACCTTTGACTCCAGTAAATTCACCTAGAGCTCAAGTTGTTTCAGGAAGCCCTTTGATTTGAGGAACATAACAAGGGAACGACCCTGTTTTATTCTGGTACCGCCACCTAGTGGCAGCATACCGTCGTTACACATTCATGCCCTTAAATGATGAACTGGTTCTAAAATCCCATTCAAATCACAGTTCATCTCCTATAAGGACAGAAAGAAGGTACAGTAACACTCTCCCAGAATTGTTCTTCTTCCAGTGATTCAAGCATAAGTGGGACAGGGGGGAAGAGTTCAGGGGACAGGGAATGGAGACTTGGAGGATCGGGTGGGGCTGGGGTTAGTTGAGGTGAAGAGGACGGAGGGAGGGAAAGGTTTGGAGGACTGGGGGGGGCAGGTGAAGAGGACTGGGGAAGAATTCAGGGAAGGGAGTGGAGTCTTGGAGGATTGAGGCAGGGGTTGGGGTTAGGCGAGTCAGGCTGGGGGAAAGGTTTGGAGGACTGGGGGAAGGTTATGTTAGAAGTTGCTTGCTGTCTGTCAGAGTCCACCAATCCTCCGGTAGCTGTCTGCATGAGTGGCCCTCTGTTCTGGCATTGCAGCACCCTGGAGAGAGAAGGCAGGTACACTTCACCAGGGCTCAACCCCTCCATCCAGTCCTCTACTACTCTAATAACAACCTTCTAAAGGCAGGGCTACGCAATTAGCACAGCTTTAAATAGTCACCACTGTCTGGGACAACTGAAGAACTCAGTGCAATCTGAGAACTGGGCTAAATAGTTAGTCGGCTAGACTTTAGAAAACGAACTAAAATTGGTAGATAGCGTACAATTGTCCCAGGCTATTTTTTTACAGTGTAGCGTAGGACGAACCACCTCAAAATGTCAGAGCTAGGACATGACAGAGACTAGGCCTCCACCCCAGACTATAATCACCCCATGACAGAGACTAGGCCTCCACCCCAGACTATAATCACCCCATGACAGAGACTAGGCCTACTGCTATTCAGAGGATGGTTCTCCATCCCAGACTATGATCACCCCACACCATCACCCATCCCAGACTATAATCACCCCACACCATCACCCATCCCAGACTATAATCACCCCACACCATCACTCACCCAGATATAATCACCCAACACCATCACTCCACCCAGAATATCACCCCACACCATCACCCACCCAGACTATAATCACCCCACACCATCACTCCACCCAGACTATAATCACCCAACACCATCACCCATCCCAGACTATAATCACCCCACACCATCACCCATCCCAGACTATAATCACCCCACACCATCACTCCACCCAGACTATAATCACCCAACACCATCACCCACCCAGACTATAATCACCCCACACCATCACCCATCCCAGACTATAATCACCCAACACCATCACTCCACCCAGACTATAATCACCCAACACCATCACTCCACCCAGACTATAATCACCCAACACCATCACCCATCCCAGACTATAATCACCCCACACCATCACCCATCCCAGACTATAATGACCCCACACCATCACCCATCCCAGACTATAATCACCCCACACCATCACCCATCCCAGACTATAATCACCCCACACCATCACCCATCCCAGACTATAATCACCCCACACCATCACCCATCCCAGACTATGATCACCCCACACCATCACCCAACCCAGACTATAATCACCCCACACCATCACCCATCCCAGACTATAATCACCCCACACCATCACCCATCCCAGACTATGACCACCATATCAGAGTGGAAAATGACAGACGTCGTAACAGTGAGCTCTACATCATAAAGAACACAGCACCCAGAAGGTACACACACACTCTACAAACACACACACACACACTCTACAAACACACACACACTACACACTCGCTACAAACACACACACACACACACTACACACTCACTACAAACACACACGAGAGAGAACATGAACAGGGTAAGGTGGTGTCGTGATGAAACCAGGACAAAATGTTCCAGCTTCAGAAACCTAACCAAACCCAGAGTGCAAATAAAATATTGAATGGCATGGTAGAATGGAAGAGCCACATCAATTCACTTCTCTTTTCAAATATTTAAATTCCCCAAAGTGAAAATGTAAGATATTTTGTAAGGTGTTGGTGGTTTAGGTCCCGTCAGAGTGTATTCAAGGCAGATCAGAGGAGCCAGGTATTCAAGGCAGATCAGAGGAGCCAGGTGTTCCCATCAGAGTGTATTCAAGGCAGATCAGAGGAGCGAGGTATTCAAGGCAGATCAGAGGAGCGAGGTATTCAAGGCAGATCAGAGGAGCCAGGTATTCAAGGCAGATCAGAGGAGCCAGGTATTCAAGGCAGATCAGAGGAGCCAGGTATTCCCATAATCAACAGTAAAGTGTGAATGAGTGTACTGAGCTGCTGAACACAGTGAGAGTGAAGATCCTTTATACTAAGTGATAGACTGTAGATCACAAGATATGCCAACTGCATATTGATTCAAAGAGCAAGAAGGCCATATAGAATTAGGATTCAGTTATAGTTAGGAGGTTGTGATGGGTAACACTGGTCTCTCCTACCTGTACGTTCTCTGGGTTGAGGTCGTCCCCACGGTGTTGCTCTCTCCGCTCACCAGGCATCCTGCGAGGGGTCGGGGGCAGCAGACCACCCAGCTGGACCTGGAGGGCCTGGAGACACCAGACAGACAGTCAGGAGAGAGATGAGAGACACAGGGAGAGAAGAGAGAGAGAGACAGTCAGGAGAGAGACGAGAGAGAAGAGAGAGACAGTCAGGAGCGAGATGAGAGAGGAGAGATACAGGGAGAGAAGAGAGAGACAGTCAGGGGAGAGACGAGAGAGAAGAGAGAGACAGTCAGGAGCGAGATGAGAGACACAGGGAGAGAAGAGAGAGACAGTCAGGGGAGAGACGAGAGACACAGGGAGAGAGAGAGGGGACATAATGTAGGGTGGGAGGGAGAGATAGATGGATTAGATAGATAGATGGAGGTTGTGTCAAAGAGGACACAAGGGACATGAGTGTGAGGACAGGAGGAGCCAGGACAACTGTTGCTAGCCCAACTGATATAGTGTTTCTGGAAAATTGCTGGTGTTACATGAAAACAAACTCGTTTTATAGAACATGCTAGAAGAAGAAAGGAGACATTAAAAAGAGTCCAAGTGTTTGACAGGGAGAGGCAGATGTCGTGATGAGAGGAGAGCATGTCAGGGGGAAGTTAGGGAAGGTTGGTAGAGAACGGACCTCCAGAAGCCGGGCTTGTAGATGGTTCTGTTGGGTCTTCAGACCCTCGTTTTCCTGACGAAGACTCTCCAGCTCTCTCTGGACCTCACACACCTGACAACCACCACCACACAAGGCCATCAGAAAAAAGGGAAAGACACATTAAAAAAACAAACTCATTGTTTAAAAGTAAGACAACTGCTTCAGAAATACATGTTGCTTGTGAATGATAGGTGGAAGTAAGCATTGCTGTGAGTTTGTTTCCGTAATTTCGACATTAGGTTTATCCTATTAATATAATCAAGGAAAAATGTGCTATCAATCAATCAATAAAAAAAAATGCACGTACTGTATGAAACGTATGAATTTAAATAAAACATGAAAAAAAAAAAAATCAAGAAATCATAACAGTATAAGACTATGCATAGATATGAGAAGATCCTCCTGTTAGATGACCCTGTTCTAAACAGCCTTGAGAACAGATCCTCCTGTTAGATGACCTTGTTCTAAACAGCCTTGAGAACAGATCCTCCTGTTAGATGACCCTGTTCTAAACAGCCTTGAGAACAGATCCTCCTGTTAGATGACCCTGTTCTAAACAGCTACGAGAACAGATCCTCCTGTTAGATGACCTTGTTCTAAACAGCTACGAGAACAGATCCTCCTGTTAGATGACCTTGTTCTAAACAGCTACGAGAACAGATCCTCCTGTTAGATGACCTTGTTCTAAACAGCCTTGAGAACAGATCCTCCTGTTAGATGACCTTGTTCTAAACAGCCTTGAGAACAGATCCTCCTGTTAGATGACCTTGTTCTAAACAGCCTTGAGAACAGATCCTCCTGTTAGATGACCTTGTTCTAAACAGCTATGAGAACAGATCCTCCTGTTAGATGACCTTGTTGTGAGCAGAGAGTAGCTCCTGGTGCGTCACGTCCAGCTCTCTCTTCATAGCAGTCTTCTCCTGCTCGACTGTCTTCACTACGGTGGACTGGCCCTGCTGTCTCTGCTGCTTCACGGTTAAGATGGCTGCCTCCAGCTGACACGTCTGTGGAAAGACAATACAGGGTTTCAAAACGTATTCATATGCAGGGTGTAACTGTCCTAGAAATCTCTAGAACGTAAAAGAGACAAGTTTCCTGGACACAGATTAAGCCTAGTCCTCGACTGAAATCCATGCTCAACTCAGAATCTCCATTAAAAGAGCTCTGTGTCCGGGGGGGGGAAACTGGCCCCTAGACCTTGAAACATCCAAGACCAATTTGATTGGGTCTGTATTTTGGTTGAATGAATTAGTTAAAAATGGTTCATTCCATCCATCCCATCCCTCTGTCATCTCACCTTGTCCCTGGTGTGGTGGAGGTCACCCTTGGTGTTGTGGAGCTCCATGGTCAGCCTCTCGTTCTCCTGCCTCAGCAGCAGCTGTTCCTGCTCCACCAGCCTGGCCAGCTCGTCCCGGTACAGCTTCTTATGCTGGCTCTGGTAGCCGCTGGAGTGCAGGGCCATCTCCAGAACCTGGTTCTGAGATAATAATAATATTTATTTATTATTATTGTATTATTATTATTATTATTATTATTATTATTATTATATTGTGCTGGCTTTGGTAGCCGCTGGAGTGCAGGGCCATCTTCAGAACCTGGTTCTGATTAAGGAAGAAATAACCGGGCCGAGCCTTCTCGGCCCTTTAGTAATAATTAAATTTTTATATAACCTTTATTTAACCAATAAATCTCACTGAGGTCAAAACACCACGTCCCCCACAGGTAGACCTAGAAAGGACAAAGACCATAGCAGTTTCACTAGATCTAGTCATCTAGTCATTTCATTGTGTGATACTAATTGACATAAAGGGTCACTAGAGGAGAGATATAGGTGCCAATGTGGATCGTTGAATCACCTCAGGTCTATCCGGCTTGTATAATCAATCCTCTGTAGCTCAGCTGGTAGAGCACGGCGCTTGTAACGCCAAGGTAGTGGGTTCGATCCCCGGGACCACCCATACACAAAAAATGTATGCACACATGACTGTAAGTCGCTTTGGATAAAAGCGTCTGCTAAATGGCATATTATATTATTATTATTATTATTATTAATCACTCAATCAAAACTGTAGCTGAGTTAGCTTCCTGGTTTGGGTAAGGTGGATCGCTACAAGGTGTCTGGTTAAGGACGAGATGTACATAACTTTAAAAATAATTTAATGAACGTCACCACACCGACCAATTAACCACCCACCCAACGAACCAATTACCCACCTAAACAATCAACCAGCGAACCAACCACCCACCTAACCAACGAACGAACCAACCGATCAGCGTGTCATCATAGAAGGCCTTACCTTATCATTGGCATTCTGCAGCTGTTTGTGCAGTGACATCACTTCCTGTTTGAGGGCGTCCTTCTCCTGCTGTGACACGCGGAGGTCTGACTTGAGACGGGCGCTCTGGAGGCTGGCAGACTGAAGACTTTCCTCCAACACATGAGTCTGAAAGAGGAGAGAATACCTTGGTCATGAATAGGGTTGCAAAATGTAGGCTAACTTTCCTTAAATTCCCCAGTATTATGCCCAAAGAAATAGATACTTTTGCATCATTCTAACATATCAGAATGAATTCGAAAAAAAACTTTATTGTCCACGTGATTCAATGTTGAAATTTGTCTTTGGCTCGACACACACGGAACAGACATTCTAAATGATGACGATTTAGAATGAAAGTGGTAACACGTTGAACTATGGATTATAACTGTGTCATAAAGTGGTTGACAAGGTAGCGTCAAAGGTTGCCAGACTCAACAGAGCATCTTACCCTCTCCTGAGACTTGGCTAGCTGGTTGCGTAGGCCCTGGGTTTGTTTCTCCAAAGCCTTGTTGTCCTGCAGGAGGTGGGAGAGCTGGCATTCCATAGCCCCCATCTTAGGCACCTACAGATGGACCCAGGGAAGAGGAGTGTGGTTGTATGTACGGTATCACATTGCCCCTCGAGTTCAAACCCCCATCTGCGCCTTCATATTCCTTTACCTAGCCATCTCCCCCTCTTATTCGTAACTTTCTATCTCAATAAAAATACAAAAAATTCTAACTCTTTCAAATCAAACTTTATTTCTCACATGGGCCGAGTGCAACAGGTGTAGTAGACCTTACCATGAAAATGCTTACTTACAAGCCCTTAACCAACAACGCAGTTCTAGAAAGTAGGACAGGTGTTACACCTATAACCTCACACACTGCTAGTAAGTTCTACGACATTCGTATTGATATTCAAAATGTCCACGATGACGTTTGTCTGCTCGGTGACTCACCTTGTCATCTCGGCGGGTGTTGATTTGTAGCACCAGCTGGGCCTTGCCTTCCTCTAGCAGAGCAGTGCCCTCCACAGCGTTGGTCAGCTCCGCCTCCAGGGCAGACACACACACTGCCATCTGACACACAGCAGAACAAGTCATTAGCTACCCAATAGGAACCCAGTGCTTTTTTTTCCTCAATTTGTCCAATCCGCTCTCCTCGCATTGGACAAGAAGGCCAGAGAGCAGGGACCTTGAATCTTCTTGTCCAATGCCTGTTGAGGAAGAGGGCGAGGAGCCAAGAGCAAGGAATCAAACAAAGACTAATTACGAAAGAGCTCAAAAAGCCTAAAAAATGACTATGACAGTTTACCTTGTTCCTGTCATCCTCTGGCACAGTGTGTTGCTGGTCTCGGACAGCCTCCTGTCTCTCACTCTGTCTGAGCAGATCCCTCAGCTGCTGGCTCAAGCCCTCCACTCCTGCTGCATTCTGGGTGTTCTTCTCCGACAGCAGCCCGTTCTCATCCTCCAGCTGCTGGCTGCGGAGACGCAGCTCAGAGATCTACGGGGGGGGAGATGCCGATTTAGGTTATACAGCTCCCTCCACTAATATTGGCACCCTCCACTAATATTGGCACCCTTGGTTAATATGAGCAAAACGGGCTGTGAAAAAAAAAATGTATTTATTGTTCATCCTCTTGGTCTTTCATTCACAATATTCACAAAAATCTAACCTTTAATTAAAGTAAAATAATTGAAGAAAAAATTTATCTTATCATAAAACAAATATTTTCTCAAATATATATGTGCCAAAATTATTGGCACTCCTTCATTCCATACTTTGTGCAACCTCCCTTTTCCAAGATAACAGCTCTGAGTCTCCTCCTATAATGCGTGATGAGGTTGGAGAACACATGGCAAGGGATCTGAGACCGTTCCTCCGTACAGAATCTCTCCATGATCCTTCAGACTCCCGAGGTCCACGCTTGTGGGACTCTCCTCCTCTTCAGCTCACCCCACAGGTTTTCTATGGGGTTTAGGTCCAGGGGACTGGGATGGCCATGGCAAAACCCTTGATTCTGTGGTCAGAGAACCATTTTTGTGTTGATTTTGAGGTGTACTTTGGTTCACTGTCCTGCTGGAAGATCCAACCACGGCCCAGTTTAAGCTTCCTAGCAGAGGCTGTCAAGTTCTGATTTTAATATCTGCTGGTACTTTATGGAGTCCATGATACATTTAAGTAATTTAGCAGATGCTCTTATCCAGAGTGACTTTACAGTTCGTGAGTGCATACATTTTTCATCCTGATTCCATGTATCCTAACAAGTTGTCCAGGGCCTTCGGAATAAAAACAGCCCCACAATATCAAAAGATCCACCACCATACTTTGGGGATGAGGTACTTTTCAGCATGGCTTTCTTTCTGTCTACGTCAAACCCACCTCTGGTGTTTGTTTCCAAAAAGCTCTATTTTGGTCTGATCTGACCATAGAACCCGGTCCCCATTGAAAGTTCCAGTAACGTTTTGACAAACTGTAGGCGCTTGAGTTTGTTGTTTTGATGACAGCAAAGGCTTTTTTAATGGCAACCCTCCCAAACAACTTGTGTTTTTGTAGGTGGCGTCTGATTGTAGTTTTAGAGACTTTCTCACCCCAAGACCCAACAACTAACGTCTGCAGTTCTCCAGCTGTGATCCTTGGATATTTTTTGGCCACTCTAACCTTCCTCTTCACTGTGCGTGGGGTCAATATAGACACACGTCCTCTTCCAGGCCGATTGTTAACATCTCCAGTTGCTTTAAACTTCTTAATTATCGCCCTGATAGTGGAAATGGGCATTTTCAACCGTTGAGCTATTTTCTTATAGCCATTTCCTGATTTGTGCAGCTCTACAACCTTTTGTCGCGCATCATTACTGTATTCTCGGGTCTTTCCCATAGCGATGGATGACTATGGTAACTTGGCCTGTGTGTCACCTCATATGTATACCCCAGTGAAACAGGAAGTCATGGCTTACCACTTAAGTGTTCCTAATCACTCAGGTGAACTTAAAAACATAAAATATGAAAAGGTTAGATTTTTGTGAATATTTTTGAATGAAAGACCAAGAAGATGAAAAATAAAGACTTTTTTTTTTTTTTCACAGCCCGTTTTGCTCATATTTACCAAGGGTGCCAATATTAGTGGAGGGTGCCAATATTAGTGGAGGGTGCCAATATTAGTGGAGGGGACTGTACTTATTACAGCACAAAAATACACCTTACTGAGGTGAAAGGTCAGGACGTGTTTAATACACCTTACTGAGGTGAAAGGTCAGGACGTGTTTAATACACCTTACTGAGGTGAAAGGTCAGGACGTGTTTAATACACCTTACTGAGGTGAAAGGTCAGGACGTGTTTAATACACCTTACTGAGGTGAAAGGTCAGGACGTGTTTAATACACCTTACTGAGGTGAAAGGTCAGGACGTGTTTAATACACCTTACTGGGAAAGGTCAGGACGTGTTTAATACACCTTACTGAGGTGAAAGGTCAAGACGTGTTTAATACACCTTACTGAGGTGAAAGGTCAGGACGTGTTTAATACACCTTACTGAGGTGAAAGGTCAAGACTTGTTTTCTCACGTGGGTGCCTCTTACTGGATGTCATTGTGCTGGTTTACTTCCATTCAGAATATCTGCGTCAGACATGGCACCCTATTCCCTACGTAGTGCACTACTTTTGACCAGGGCCGGTGCCAAAAAAGTAGTGCACTATATAGGGAATAGGGTGCCATGTCTGACACAGACATAGAGTTATTAGATTTGCTCTTTATTGCTCGTTGCTCTACTACAGGTCTTTCTTGAAATCAGGCTACACAAGCTTTAGTAACAGCTGTCTTGTTGCATTGCACGGGTGGACATACAGCCATATACAGTGGGGAAAAAAAGTATTTAGTCAGCCACCAATTGTGCAAGTTCTCCCACTTAAAAAGATGAGAGAGGCCTGTAATTTTCATCATAGGGACACGTCAACTATGACAGACAAAATGAGCATTTTTTTCCAGAAAATCACATTGTAGGATTTTTTTATGAATTTATTTTCAAATTATGGTGGAAAATAAGTATTTGGTCAATAACAAAAGTTTCTCAATACTTTGTTATGTACCCTTTGTTGGCAATGACACAGGTCAAACGTTTTCTGTAAGTCTTCACAAGGTTTTCACACACTGTTGCTGGTATTTTGGCCCATTCCTCCATGCAGATCTCCTCTAGAGCAGTGATGTTTTGGGGCTGTCGCTGGGCAACACAGACTTTCAACTCCCTCCAAAGATTTTCTATGGGGTTGAGATCTGGAGACTGGCTAGGCCACTCCAGGACCTTGAAAGGCTTCTTACGAAGCCACTCCTTCGTTGCCCGGGCGGTGTGTTTGGGATCATTGTCATGCTGAAAGACCCAGCCACGTTTCATCTTCAATGCCCTTGCTGATGGAAGGAGGTTTTCACTCAAAATCTCACGATACATGACCCCATTCATTCTTTCCTTTACACGGATCAGTCGTCCTGGTCCCTTTGCAGAAAAACAGCCCCAAAGCATGATGTTTCCACCCCCATGCTTCACAGTAGGTATGGTGTTCTTTGGATGCAACTCAGCATTCTTTGTCCTCCAAACACGACGAGTTGAGTTTTTACCAAAAAGTTATATTTTGGTTTCATCTGACCATATGACATTCTCCCAATCCTCTTCTGGATCATCCAAATGCACTATAGCACACTTCAGACGGGCCTTGACATGTACTGGCTTAAGCAGGGGGACACGTCTGGCACTGCAGGATTTGAGTCCCTGGCGGCGTAGTGTGTTACTGATGGTAGGCTTTGTTACTTTGGTCCCAGCTCTCTGCAGGTAATTCACTAGGTCCCCCCGTGTGGTTCTGGGATTTTTGCTCACCGTTCTTGTGATCATTTTGACCCCACGGGGTGAGATCTTACGTGGAGCCCCAGATCGAGGGAGATTATCAGTGGTCTTGTATGTCTTCCATTTCCTAATAATTGCTCCCACAGTTGATTTCTTCAAACCAAGCTGCTTACCTATTGCAGATTCAGTCTTCCCAGCCTGGTGCAGGTCTACAATTTTGTTTCTGGTGTCCTTTGACAGCTCTTTGGTTTTGGCCATAGTGGAGTTTGGAGTGTGACTGTTTGAGGTTGTGGACAGGTGTCTTTTATACTGATAACAAGTTCAAACTGGTGCCATTAATACAGGTAACGAGTGGAGGACAGAGGAGCCTCTTAAAGAAGAAGTTACAGGTCTGTGAGAGCCAGAAATCTTGCTTGTTTGTAGGTGACCAAATACTTATTTTCCACCATAATTTGCAAATAAATTCAGTAAAAATCCTACAATGTGATTTTCTGGATTTTTTTCTCTCAATTTGTCTGTCATAGTTGACGTGTACCTATGATGAAAATTACAGGCCTCTCTCATCTTTTTAAGTGGGAGAACTTGCACAATTGGTGGCTGACTAAATACTTTTTTCCCCCACCGTATAGAACCAAGTTACAGGGTCAAATTTGAGTTGGTTTACTCCAGTCTTACCTGTCTCTTGAAACTCTCTGCCTTCTTTTGTGCAGCAATCTTCTCCTTCCTGAAATGCTCCAGTTTCAAGCTAAGGTAGGGGAGAGGGAAGTGCCAATTCATATGACCCAACGACATGAAACCTATACCATACAGTAACACCACAGGAAATCCCAGGAAATGTTTGTGGGGTGGGGGCGGGCAAAATTGCTGGGACCGGGGCTGAATATGCTTCAATATTGTATATTGGCATAATGTTTCTTACAGTGTCTCCTCCTGGGTCTCTCTCAGGTCCTCTTCCTTCAGCATCGAGATCTTGTGTCTGAGTATGAGGTTCTCCTCTGCTAGACGACCTGCCTCATTCCTACAGAAGAAACCACGTCGGCAACAGAAGACCTCAGTCTCTATAATAATAATAATAATATGCCATTTAGCAGACGCTTTTATCCAAAGCGACTTACAGTCATACTATGCTAGCTGATTTTAAAAAAAACACAACCAGCACCACATTGTTCCTGTTTTGTAGTCATAATGTTTAAGAGTTTTGTTAAAAAACGTTGTTAATGTAGAGTAAATTAAGTAAATAAAAGTAAATTGAATAAAACCATGAATTGAGGTGTTCATAAAGCAGAAATCCATACATCAACGGAGGGCTCTAATAGTCCACAAACAGACAAACATGCACCAATGACAGGACAGTTGGCTGTTTCTATAGGAACAGGGTGGGATTGTACAGTGGCATGGCCACAACATGGCCTGTTGTTGTAGCTGTTGTTTCACATGCAAGTTTCTGAACTGGAAAGATGGATTACGTCACAGGATTGACATCGCAGAGCTACTTCAGAACATAGACGTCACAGCACTGCTACAGGAGGTTACATTAATAAGCCAGTGACAGCACTACTTCTGGTGCCACAGGAAGTTGCATTAGCCAATGAAAGCACTACTTCTGGTGCTACAGGAAGTTGCATTAGCCAATGAAAGCACTACTTCTGGTGCCACAGGAAGTTGCATTAGCCAATGAAAGCACTACTTCTAGTGCCACAGGAAGTTGCATTAGCCAATGACAGCACTACTTCTGGTGCCACAGGAAGTTGCATTAGCCAATGAAAGCACTACTTCTAGTGCCACAGGAAGTTGCATTAGCCAATGAAAGCACTACTTCTGGTGCCACAGGAAGTTGCATTAGCCAATGACAGCACTACTTCTGGAGCCACAGGAAGTTGCATCAGCCAGTGACAGCACTACTTCTGGTGCTAGAGGAAGTTGCTGGAGGAAGTTGCATTAATAAGCCAAGCACAATATGGCAGCAGGGATGGGATTAAGAAAGCAGCAGGTGCAAAGGGTTGGTAACGGGATCATACATCTCCTCCAAGTTACCTATGGGTCTGCATCCTCTCATGTATCCTCAGCGACTTGTCCTGCAGGTCCGTTAGGGCACTGCGGAGCTTGGCGTTCTGCTTCTCGAACTCCGTGCAGCAGTCCTCCAGCTCCGACACAGCCTGTATCTTAGCCTCCAGTTGGGAGTTCAGGTCCAGGAAGGACTCTTGTTCTTGTTCTGTGGTGGCGTCTTCCTCGGACTCGGCCTCCAGCTGCAGAGCCATGAGAATCTCATCCTGCCTCTCTAACTCGCTGACTAGATCAGTCAGCTTACAGTTCTCCTCTCTCATCCTGGTGATCTCGTCCACCAACGCTACTTGCTGATCCTGGAAGTCTTGGATGATGTGCATTTTGCTCTCGAGGCCCAGAACTCTCTTCTCCAGTCGACAGTTCTGTTCCTCCAGCTTGGCGTTTTCACAGATGCACTCCTCGTATCTGATCTGAAGCGCGGCCATATCCGAAGACATCACCTTGATCTCTTTGGCCTGAGCACTGAGGGTGTCGTTTTCCTCTAAAGATTGCTGATCGGAAGCTGTATTTCCACCGTTCTCTGCTGTAAGACTCTCCAGTGCGTCAGTCTTCTGCTGAAGCTCTGAGATCTTCTGCTGTAGCGCCAGGTTCTCCTCAGCAGCAGTGTCATAGTGGCTCTGTAGCCGAGCCAGACGACTGGCCTCGCTCTGGAACTGACCGACTTGCTCCCGGAGCTCCGTGATCTCACAGGCGTCTCGCTCCTTCACTGCCTCTTCACACTTCTGCTGCAGCTGAGGAATCAGTTCCACAGCCTCTTTCTCAGTGTCATGACCTATCTCCTCTAGGGCTGAAGAGACAACCAGAGACACATAACCCTGTACTTCTTCATTGAACAGATGATTTTGAAGTTCCTCCTCTTCAGGCTTATCATCAAAACCAGTTTCTTCTACACCAGCATCATTCTGTTCCATTTTATCAGGGGAAGAGACTTCACACTTCATCTCAGAGAGACAGACATCTCCATCAACGTCGTCACTTTGAGGTTGCTCCTCTGGAATGGACAACACTACCATGTCATCGTTAGTGTCTTCGTCCATGTTGTCCACATCCTGACCTTGGAATTCAGGGGATTCCTCAACAAGTTCTTGGCATTCTTCTGGAATAGCAGCGACTTCACCGTTGCATGCCTCAACACTGATAATGTTTTCAGGACATACCTCAATGTCCTCAGAAGATTCAGGAGTCATCCCTCCCTCACTAGTGTCGCCATCTTGTGCTTGCTCCCCAACTGCAACAGATTCGACCACAGGGTCTTGGCCGTCGCCCACAGTAGTTTCATCATAACACGCCCCATCAAGATGAAGAGTTATGGTGTCTTCAGGACATTCCTGTAACCTATTTGGAGTTTCAGGGATCATCTCCACTTCGTCATCTTGTCCTTGTTCGCCAGAGGTGTCAGATGCCTCTACTAAGACATTCAGGTTGTCTGAGGTAACAGGTATTTCTTGATCACAGACTTCTGCAATGATGTTTTCAGAACTCTCCATCTCATGAGGTGATTCAGTAATAATCTCAACTTCATCGTTTGGTCCCTGCTCCACAGGAGCTACGTCAAGGCCTTCACAGTCCTCTGGAACAACGTCGTCACATGTCTCATCACTAACGGTAAGGTTTTCTGAAAATACTTCTTGTTCTTCAAGAGCTGCAGCCTCTAGATGTTCCTCTCCTAGCAGTGGTAAATTTACTTCATTTGATTCGTCCATTTCTTTGTTCTCTGTTATGTCTGCAGATTCTAGAAGTTGGTTGAGCTCGTTCTCGATTTCCTGAATCCTAATACTAAGCTGGTCTCTCTCGGCCAGAAGCTCTCCTTTCTCATTGTCCTGCAGGTCAGAGGAAGGACGGCTCTCCTTCAGCTTCAGTTCCAGGTCTGAGACGTTCTCTTGCAGCTCCAGTCTCTCAAACTGAAAGTCCACCGCCACCTGTCTCAGGAGCTTCTCCAGTTCTTTGATCTTCAACTTCAGGTCATCACGTTCTGAGAGCAGCTCACACCTCTCCTCAAGATGCTTCTCAGCCATGGAGTGCCTTGCCTCTAATTCAGAAAGGCTTCCCTGAAGTTCTGCCCTCTCCTGCTTGAAGTCCTCCACTGCCTGGTTCAGCAGAAGCTCCATCTCCCGGGCTTTGTTCTCAGACTGGGCCAGAAGCTCGTCTTTCGTGTCCAGGTTCTCCTGCAGCCTATTGTGAAGATCGTTCAGCTGCCTACTCAGCTCGATCTCTTTGGTCTGGGCTAAACTGATGAAACTCTCCAGCTCCTTTTGGAGTTCCTGGTTCTTCGCGACCAATGCATCCATCTCTTCCTTATGGACACTCTCTAGCAGCTCCCTCTCTTTCACCAGGTCCTGGGTGATGGTCTCCCTCTCTTGTTCCATGGTTTCCTGCAGAACTCTCCTCTGCTCTTCAGCTTCCTGAAGGGCTTCCTCCGTCTCCTTGTCCCATTTGGTTTTCTGCTCAGCGTGGCTCTCGGTGAGTGCCTTCAGCTCGCTCTGATAGTGCGTCTCCAGGTTGGAAACGTCGGTCTGGAAGCGCTCTGCGACAGCGTCCTGGTCGCCTGAGAACCGGGCCTCCACCTCCCTGATTTTCTGGGAGAAGTGGCTCTCTAGTTCTTTCCTGTACATTGTTAATCAGCAAGAGTTATGGACCACAGTTCCCACACCCTCAGAAATACTCACCTAAATCTACTTTCTTAGCATAGCTGTAGTTACAATTCTCAAGTGGTTCACTACATTAAGTAAATATGGTTAAGGTTTTCATGGACAATGCTGGGACCATTTAAGAACAGAAATTTTACACATAAGCTGATTTCATTACAGTTAAGCAGTCTTACCTTTCCTCAGCGATATCCTCCCGCAGTTTATCCAGCAGACCGCTGAGCTGTTCCCTCTCCTCGCTGTGTTTGGCACTTAGTTCCTGCACAGCCTGTCTGTGGGCCTCCTCCAGGCACTCCTTCTCCTCCTCCATCATCTGCTCCAGCCTCTTCTCCAGCTCCTCCTTCTCCCCCGCCAGCCTCTCCCTGTCCTCCTGCAGCCGCTCCTGGAGCATCCCCTCATAGTCCTTCTCCAGCTGGAGTCTCTCCCTGTCCCAGTCCTCCCTGAGCCTCCTCTCCGTCTCCTCCTGCTGCTTCAGCTTCTCCTCTGCCAACCGGGTGAGGAGAGCCTCCTCCTGACACTCCTGGAGCTGAACTCGTTCCAGCTCCCACTGCTCGGCGAGACGGCTCTCCCTACCCTCCTGCTCCTCGACTAGACGCAACATCTCATCCTCTAACATGGTCTGGAGCGACGCGTTACTCTGCTCATCCAGCTGAACCTTCTCCCTCTCCCACTCCTCTGACAGCCTCCTCTCCACCTCCTCTATCCTAGCCTTCACCACCTCCTCGTGGCTCCGCTGTAACTCCACCTTCTCCCTCTCCCACTCCTCCGTTAGTCGCATCTCTAACTCCTCTATCCTAGCCTTCACCGCCTCCTCGTGGCTCCGCTGTAACTCCGCCTTCTCCCTCTCCCACTCCTCCGTTAGTCGCATCTCCGACTCCTCTCGCTCTGCCTGGAACTTCAAACTCACCTCCTCTATCCTGGCCTTCACCGCCTCCTCGTGGCTCCGCTGTAACTCCGCCTTCTCCCTCTCCCACTCCTCCGACAGCCTCCTCTCCACCTCCTCTATCCTAGCCTTCACCGCCTCCTCGTGGCTCCGCTGTAACTCCACCTTCTCCCTCTCCCACTCCTCTGACAGCCTCCTCTCCACCTTTGCCGTCTCCTCGCGGAGCTTCCCTCGCTCTTCTTCCAGCCTGACCTGAAGGATCTTGTCGTGCTGCTCGTCCAGCTTGTTGAGTTCCAAGGCGTGAAGTTTCCTCAGTTCCCGCATCTCCGTGTCCACGCCCAGCTCGGCCTCCGCTTGTTGGGCCTCCAGGACTTTCAGCTGCTCCTCCAGGGCAGAAGCCTGGATGTGAGCCTCCAGGAGCTCCTGTCTCAGGCTGCTCACCTAATAGAATAATATATATATATATATATATATTTAATGTATTATTTTATTCATTTATTATTTTATTCATTATTATTTTACCAGGTAAGTTGACTGAAAACACATTCTCATTTACAGCAACGACCTGGGGAATAGTTACATATATGCCATTTGGCAGATGCTTTTATAAAAAAAAAAAAAAAAAGGGACTTACTTCAGCGAGTGCATACACTTTCATACTGTTGGAATCGAACCCACGCCGCTGGCGTCGCTAGCTCCATGCCCTTACCAAATGAGCCACACAAAAGCCCCTCACCTCCTGCTCCTGCTGGTGCTCCAGCTCCTCCAGCACCCCTGCCTGTCTCTGCTCCAGACAGGCCCGCTCCTCCTCAGCATTCTCTACCTGGGCCTGGAGCTCCAGGGCTCGGTTCTGGATGCCGGACATCTCCCCTCGTAGTGCCTGGAGGAGGTTATTAAAGTGTATTGCGTCTTCAGGATGCCCAGCCCACATTACCTTATAAAACAGTGTATTCACGACTCAAAGATTGCATTTACAGTGTGTTATAAACTGCAGTAGCAAAATATACAATCATACGTGTGCACACACCTGGATCTCCTCCAGGTACTGCAGGGACAAGGCTGCCTTCTGGGCCTCCAGGTCTGCCTTCTGCTCCTCCACCTTCTGGTCAAACTCACTCACCTGCAATGACACGGGGAAAAAGGAAATCTGGCTGTATCAGATCCATCTCTGGGACAAAAACATGGCACAGTGTGGTCTGTGAGGTCCAACGGTTAGAGCAGCGTGGGTTTGAATCCGACCCACAGCCCTTTGACCCGTCCTCGTCTTCCTCTACTACAGGAGTGGGACCGCCCCATCTAGCTACATCAAATCTCTGAGAAGGTAAACGTCCTCTGTAGCTCAGCTGGTAGAGCACGGCGCTTGTAACGCCAAGGTAGTGGGTTCGATCCCCGGGACCACCCATACACAAAAATGTATGCACGCATGACTGTAAGTCGCTTTGGATAAAAGAGTCTGCTAAATGGCATAAAAAAAATAAAATAAAAAAAACGTGGCACAGTGAAGTATGATGGAGTGCTTTAGGAATACTGTTGAAACACTGCTAGATATCCAACTGCTAGATATCCAACTGCTAGATATCCAACTGCTAGATATTCAACTGCTAGATATCCAACTGCTAGATATCCAACTGCTAGATATCCAACTGCTAGATACAGGCCCCCCTGTAGCTCAGTTGGTAGAGGACGGCGCTTGCAACGCCAGGGTTGTGGGTTCGATTCCCACGGGGGGGGGGGGGGGCCAGTATGAAAAAAAATTGATGCACTCACTAACTGTAAGTCGCTCTGGATAAGAGCGTCTGATAAATGACTAAAAATGTAAATGTGAATATTAAATCTCTCACCTTGCTCTCCAGCCGAGCCTGTAGATCCTCCATCTCTCGGAGGTGCTTCTCTTTCAGCCGTTCCAGCATCATCTCTGCCTCCAGGCTCATGTTGAACAACGGCTGGCCCTCCTCCGAGCCTAGACCTGGAGACGCTCAATAAATCAAACTTATTTTATAAAGCCCTTTTTAAAAATCAGCAGTTGTCACAAAGTGCTATACAGATTCCCAGCCTAAAACCCCAAAGAGCAGTCAATGCAGAAGCAGAATCACAGTGCCACCAGAGGTCTCTTCACAGTCCCCCAAGTCCAGAACAGACTATGGGAGGCGCACAGTACTACATAGAGCCATGACTACATGGAACTCTATTCCACATCAGGTAACTGATGCAAGCAGTAGAATCAGATTTTAAAAAACAGATAAAAATACACCTTATGGAACAGCGGGGACTGTGAAGCAACACAAACACAGGCACAGGCACTGTGTGCCTTAGTGTGTTGTGAATTCTGTAATGAATGTTTTGTAATGTTTTTTAAATTGTATAACTGCCTTAATTTTGCTGGACCCCAGGAAGAGTAGCTGCTGCCTTGGCAGGAACTAATGACGATCCATAATAAACCCCAGGAAGAGTAGCTGCTGCCTTGGCAGGAACTAAGGGGGATCCATAATAAACCCCAGGAAGAGTAGCTGCTGCCTTGGCAGGAACTAATGGGGATCCATAATAAACCCTAGGAAGAGTAGCTGCTGCCTTGGCAGGAACTAATGGGGATCCATAATAAACCCCAGGAAGAGTAGCTGCTGCCTTGGCAGGAACTAATGTGGATCCATAATAAAACCCCAGGAAGAGTAGCTGCTGCCTTGGCAGGAACTAATGGGGATCCATAATAAATACAAATACAGTGGCTAGGAAAAACTCCCTTGAAGGCAGGAACCTAGGAAGAAACCTAGAGAGGAACCAGGCTCTGAGGGGTGGCCAGTCCTCTTCTGGCTGTACTGGGTAGAGAGGAACCAGGCTCAGAGGGGTGACCAGTCCTCTACTGGCTGTACTGGGTAGAGAGGAACCAGGCTCTGAGGGGTGGCCAGTCCTCTCCTGGCTGTACTGGAAGGATGACAGATGAGGATGGAGTCCAAGAACAACTAACAAGATAATGGTGTGCTCTCTGTCTCTCTCCTGTTCCTCAGCTAATCAATGTGCTTCTTTGACTAACTTGCAGTTGACCAGCCAGAATCACTGATCTACATATCACCTTGCATCCCAAATAACTACTCATTAAGTGATCAAGATTTAGCGATTCTCCATCTTGCCTTGCTCAAAACAGATCCCCCCTAAACACTGTATATTGGATGGCTTTCAGAGAGGATGGGATATGGGTGCGGGGATATGATAGTGGCTGTATTCTACTCCTTTTTTACAGTGATACTTACCGCCACAGGGTGACATTTGGAATGGAACCTACGTTGTGTTCTATTTCTGCCTCCGCATCGCTCTTTGGAGTTTTAGGCCGGGTATCGGTAAAGCCCTTTGTCAAAACTGCTGATGCGAAAAGGGCTTTATAAAATACATTTGATTAAATGTTTTTTTTTGTATTTCTACGTACCTGGGTCTGACTCCACGCCAGGACTCTTGCTCTCCAGGTCCTCAGAGAGAGAGGGTTTGAGACAGGGCTGAGAGGTGCGGCCCAAGTTGTGGTACTCCTGAAGCTCTGCTTGAAGCTCATCGATGCGATCCTGCAGCGCCTGCCTCGCACACGTTCACCACCAATCAAAACAGAAATATTAGTATTTAAAAACAGAAATACCAGTATTTAAAACATGGCAATTTATCTTTGTAAGTGCACTCTGTCTGAAACGGTTAACAGGTGGTTACAGTTGGTTGATGGATTGATTGTTTTATTGATTGGTTGATTGATTGGTTCCAGTGAGAGCTATTACCTGGCACTGCACCGTGTGTGTGTTGTTTTTGCACTAACTCTTGCACTGGACTCTACCCCCACACACACACACACTGGACTCTACCCACACACACACTCACTTACACCCCAACACACACGCATATTGACGCCACACACACAGACTGCTAAATAGCTAATTGGAGTCCTGGACTACCTGCAATGACACACACTACATACACACACACACTACATACACTACATACACTACATACATACACACACACACGACATACACACACACACTACATACACACACACACACACACACACACACACACGACATACACACACTACATACACACACACACACACACGACATACACACACACACACTACATACACACACACACACACACTACATACACACACACACACACACACTACATACACACACACACACACACACACACACTACATACACATACACACACATACACTACATACACATACACTACATACACACACACACACTACATCCATACACACACACTACATCCATACACACACACGCTGCTGCTATTGCCTATTATCTATCCTGTTGTCTAGTCACTTTACCCCTACCTACAGTATACTGCTGCTACTGTCTATTATCTATCCTGTTGCCTAGTCACTTTACCCCTACCTACAGTATACTGCTGTTACTGTCTATTATCTATCCTGTTGTCTAGTCACTTTACCCCTACCTACAGTATACTGCTGCTACTGTCTATTATCTATCCTGTTGTCTAGTCCCTTTAACCCCTACCTACAGTATACTGCTGCTACTGTCTATTATCTATCCTGTTGTCTAGTCACTTTACCCCTACCTACAGTATACTGCTGCTACTGTCTATTATCTATCCTGTTGTCTAGTCACTTTACCCCTACCTACAGTATACTGCTGCTACTGTCTATTATCTATCCTGTTGCCTAGTCACTTTACCCCTACCTACAGTATACTGCTGTTACTGTCTATTATCTATCCTGTTGTCTAGTCACTTTACCCCTACCTACAGTATACTGCTGCTACTGTCTATTATCTATCCTGTTGTCTAGTCACTTTACCCCTACCTACAGTATACTGCTGCTACTGTCTATTATCTATCCTGTTGTCTAGTCACTTTACCCCTACCTACAGTATACTGCTGTTACTGTCTATTATCTATCCTGTTGTCTAGTCACTTTACCCCTACCTACAGTATACTGCTGCTACTGTCTATTATCTATCCTGTTGTCTAGTCACTTTACCCCTACCTACAGTATACTGCTGCTACTGTCTATTATCTATCCTGTTGTCTAGTCACTTTACCCCTACCTACAGTATACTGCTGCTACTGTCTATTATCTATCCTGTTGTCTAGTCACTTTACCCCTACCTACAGTATACTGCTGCTACTGTCTATTATCTATCCTGTTGTCTAGTCACTTTACCCCTACCTACAGTATACTGCTGTTACTGTCTATTATCTATCCTGTTGTCTAGTCACTTTACCCCTACCTACAGTATACTGCTGCTACTGTCTATTATCTATCCTATAGATGTATGTCTCCTGAGTGGCGCAGTGGTCTAAGGCACTGCATCGCAGTGCTAACTGTGCTACTAGAGATCCTGGTTCGAATCCAGGCTCTGTCGCAGCCGGCCGCGACCGGGAGACTCATGGGCGGCGCACAATTGGCCCAGCGTCGTCCAGGGTAGGGGAGGGAATGGCCGGTAGGGATGTAGCTCAGTTGATAGAGCATGGCGTTTGCAACGCCAGGGTTGTGGGTTCGATTCCCACGGGGGGGCAGTATAAAAAAAATATGTATTCACTAACTGTAAGTCGCTCTGGATAAGAGCGTCTGCTAAATGACTAAAATGTAAAATGTAAATGTATCCTGTTGTCTAGTCACTTTACCCCTACCTACAGTATACTGCTGCTACTGTCTATTATCTATCCTGTTGCCTAGTCACTTTACCCCTACCTACAGTATACTGCTGCTACTGTCTATTATCTATCCTGTTGCCTAGTCACTTTACCCCTACCTATATGTACATATCTACCTCAAATACCTGGTACCCCTGCACATGGACTCGGTACCGGTACTCCCTGATAGACATGTTATTACCTGGTACCCCTGCACATGGACTCGGTACCAGTGTTATTTTTTTTATACTCTTTATTGTTATTTTATCTTGAACTGCATTGTGGGAAAAGGACCCGTCAGTTAGCATTTCACTGTTAGTCTACGTCTGTTTCCAGTAAGCGTTCTTACCCGGCACTGTTCTTCATAGCTGCTGCGTAGCCGTCTGAGATGCTCCTCCTGTAGGAAGAACTCTGCACTGCCTGGGTCCAGGTCCCCAAACTGAGCAAACAGAACCAACACCAAGGGATTCTTAGGGACAGATACTTGTACTTCAGATAGATCCTCATTCATATAGCCATAAGCCAGTACTGAATCTCTCAAGATAATTGCTGACGAACAGCAGTGTATAAGCACTGAATATGAAATGGAAAAACATGTGACATGAGATTACTTTGGACCGCTCCGTATTACTCTTCAGAAGATGCTAGCCTGAAACGTGTTCTTTTAGACTTTTGTTAAGTGTGAAAGTTAATATCAATACTGTAGAAGAGAATGGTCTTTCACCTTTTCCTTCAGGATGTTATCCAGGTTCCTCTGCAGCTTGCTGACCTGGTTTTCTGCCTCCACCAGTTTCTCAGTGCTGTCCAGCAGCTCCATCTCCAGACGCCTACTTTCCTGAGGGTTGGAGTTAGAGTCGAGGGTTGGAGTTAGAGTTGGAGTTAGAGTCGAGGGTTAGAGTTAGAGTTGAGGGTTGGAGTTAGAGTTGAGGGTTGGAGTTAGAGTTGAGGGTTGGAGTTAGAGTCGAGGGTTAGAGTTGAGGGTTAGAGTTAGAGTTGAGGGTTAGAGTTGAGGGTTGGAGTTAGAGTCGAGGGTTAGAGTTGAGGGTTAGAGTTAGAGTTGAGGGTTGGAGTTAGAGTTGAGGGTTGGAGTTAGAGTTGAGGGTTGGAGTTAGAGTTGAGGGTTAGAGTTAGAGTTGAGGGTTAGAGTTAGAGTTGAGGGTTAGAGTTAGAGTTGAGGGTTAGAGTTAAAGTTGAGGGTTAGAGTTGAGGGTTAGAGTTAGAGTTGAGGGTTAGAGTTGAGGGTTAGAGTTAGAGTTGAGGGTTAGAGTTAGAGTTGAGGGTTAGAGTTAGAGTTGAGGGTTAGAGTTAAAGTTGAGGGTTAGAGTTGAGGGTTAGAGTTAGAGTTGAGGGTTAGAGTCGAGGGTTAGAGTCGGGGTTAGAGTCGAGGGTTAGAGTCGAGGGTTAGAGTCGAGGGTTAGAGTCGAGGGTTAGAGTCGAGGGTTAGAGTTAGAGTCGAGGGTTAGAGTTGAGGGTTAGAGTCGAGGGTTAGAGTCGAGGGATAGAGTCGAGGGTTAGAGTCGAGGGTTAGAGTCGAGGGTTAGAGTTGAGGGTTAGAGTTAGAGTTGAGGGTTAGAGTTGAGGGTTAGAGTTGAGGGTTAGAGTTAGAGAGACAGATCACCAGTTTCTCAGTGCTGTTCACCAGCTCTACACTGAGTACACCAAACATTAGGAACACCTTCCTAATATTGAGTTTGAGTTGCACCCCCCCCCCCCTCAGAACCGCCTCAATTCGTTGGGTCATGGACTCTACAAGGTGTCGAAAGCATTCCACAGGGATGCTGGCCCATGTTGACTCCAATGCTTCCCACAGGTGTGTCAAGTTGGCTGGATGTCCTTTGGGTGGTGGACCATTCTTGATACACACGGGAAACTGTTGAGCGTGAAAAACCCAGCAGCGTTGCAATTCTTGACAAAAACCGGTGCCCCTGGCACCTACTACCGTACCCCGTTCAAAGGCACTTAAATCTTGTTTTTTTCCATTCACCATCTGAATGGCACGTATACACAATCATGTCTTCTTCTTCTATGGTATAATGGAATTCGCAACAATGAAAATGTGCATTCCGCCACCTACTGTGCGGGTGGATAATAAGGTTCCCCCAAAAAAGGAAAAAATTAAATACCATACTAACTACCAAAAAATAAGTTAACCAACAAAATCAACCTGCTTTTCTGTAAAAACCTAATTCTAATCAGGTCCAAACACATGCTCAGAAGCCTCCAGTGTGGGCGGGACATTTCCTAGCGACAAAAGTCCTTGTAGTGCTTCTGCCGTGCAGTCTTGGAGCCCCAAAAACGTATCGGCTGCAGATATAATGATATCCAGCTTCTTTGACAGTTGGTGCTGTACAATTAATCACTGTGGCTATAAATGCCACAAAATCCACCTTCTTCACAATGAGTGTATCCAGATCACACGATTGACTGAAAACACTAGCAACTGGATGCAATGCGTCCACCGCCATATCTCCAACACTGTTGCCTCTTGCCCCTTTCGACTCTCTTCACCGCCTCCACATAGGAGATCCGCTGCTCAGCCCTGATCCTTGACACCTCGACCTCCTTCACCCTGACAGGGCACTCAGGGAAGTCCGGAGTATGATCCCCACTACAGCTGCAACATTTTCCATTCACAGATTCTTCAATATTATACTTCTCCCGTCTGCAAACATTTGACACGTCACCATATCCTTTACAATTTCCACACTGTAATGGTTTGGTCACAAATGCTCTCACCGCATACCTCACATATCCAAGCTTTACATATTCAGGTAGAGTCTCCTCAAACAACAACACTATCGACAGGCTTTTCTCCTTCTATTTACCATACGGGCAAATGTTTTTTTGTGTTTTTGTACTTTTACCCCCTTTTCTCCCCAATTTCGTGATTTCCAAATTGGTGGTTACAGTCTTGTCCCATCGCTGCAACTCCCCTACGGACTCGGGAGAGGCGAAGGTCGAGAGCCACGCGTCCTCCGAAACACGACCCTGCCAAGACGCACTGGTTCTTGACACACTGCTTTCTTCACAGTCCTCGATATTACAAATGGATTTCCCAAATGACCGTCCTTGTCCAAAAAACGCAGTCCAATAAGGAATGCATTATGGGACCGGTCCTTGTCTTCTACTACAACTTTTGGTCGTTTTGCTCCATTCTTTGATTTCACTATTTTCCGTTCATTGTCACACACTTCACTTGCCGCACTTTCGGATTCAAGCACAGTCGCCATTTCCTCCCATTACCGAGCCTCATGTCTCAAGGCTTAAAAATCCTTCTTCAACCTGTCTCCTCCCCTTCATCTACACTGATTGAAGTGGATTTAACAGGTGACATCAATAAGGGATCATAGCTTTCACCTGGATTCACCTGGTCAGTCTGTCATGGAAAGAGCAGGTGTTCTTAATGTTTTGTCCAATCAGTGTATGTCCCGATTTCTACTCTCCTGAGCAGCTGATTTAGACCAGGGGTGTCAAACGCATTCCATGGAGGGCCGAGTGTCTGTGTGGATTTTAGGTTTTTCCTTTCAATTAAGCCTTAGACAACCAGGTGAGGGGAGTTCCTTACTAAGCCTTAGACAACCAGGTGAAGGGAGTTCCTTACTAAGCCCTAGATAACCAGGTGAGGGGAGTTCCTTACTAAGACCTAGACAACCAGGTGAGGGGAGTTCCTTACTAAGACCTAGACAACCAGGTGAGGGGAGTTCCTTACTAAGACCTAGACAACCAGGTGAGGGGAGTTCCTTACTAAGACCTAGACAACCAGGTGAGGGGAGTTCCTTACTAAGACCTAGACAACCAGGTGAGGGGAGTTCCTTACTAAGACCTAGACAACCAGGTGAGGTGAGTTCCTTACTAAGACCTAGACAACCAGGTGAGGGGAGTTCCTTACTAAGACCTAGACAACCAGGTGAGGGGAGTTCCTTACTAAGACCTAGACAACCAGGTGAGGGGAGTTCCTTACTAAGCCCTAGACAACCAGGTGAGGGGAGTTCCTTACTAAGCCCTAGACAACCAGGTGAGGGGAGTTCCTTACTAAGCCTTAGACAACCAGGTGAGGGGAGTTCCTTACTAAGCCCTAGACAACCAGGTGAGGGGAGTTCCTTACTAAGCCTTAGACAACCAGGTGAGGGGGAGTTCCTTACTAAGCCCTAGACAACCAGGTGAGGGGAGTTCCTTACTAAGCCCTAGACAACCAGGTGAGGGGAGTTCCTTACTAAGCCTTAGACAACCAGGTGAGGGGAGTTCCTTACTAAGCCCTAGACAACCAGGTGAGGGGAGTTCCTTACTAAGCCTTAGACAACCAGGTGAGGGGAGTTCCTTACTAAGCCCTAGACAACCAGGTGAGGGGAGTTCCTTACTAAGCCCTTAGACAACCAGGTGAGGGGAGTTCCTTACTAAGCCTTAGACAACCAGGTGAGGGGAGTTCCTTACTAAGCCTTAGACAACCAGGTGAGGGGAGTTCCTTACTAAGCCTTAGACAACCAGGTGAGGGGAGTTCCTTACTAAGCCTTAGACAACCAGGTGAGGGGAGTTCCTTACTAAGACCTAGACAACCAGGTGAGGGGAGTTCCTTACTAATTAGTGACATTAATTCATCAATCAAGTACAAAGAGTTTGAATGAGTTTGACACGTGATTTAGAGCATCACTGCAATCTATTTGGCAACAGTGGAACTTTCTTTCCATTTGTTTCCCTGCTATTTAGGTACATCAAACAATATTCACAAACATACAGTTCCGATTGTAGTTGCTGTTACCTTGACAGTGAGTGAGAGGTGTTCTGTGTTAGTTACCTTGACAGCTAGTGAGAGGTGTTCTGTGTTAGTTACCTTGACAGTGAGTGAGAGGTGTTCTGTGTTAGTTACCTTGACAGCTAGTGAGAGGTGTTCTGTGTTAGTTACCTTGACAGTGAGTGAGAGGTGTTCTGTGTTAGTTACCTTGACAGCTAGTGAGAGGTGTTCTGTGTTAGTTACCTTGACAGTGAGTGAGAGGTGGTCTGTGTTAGTTACCTTGACAGTGAGTGAGAGATGGTCTGTGTTAGTTACCTTGACAGCTAGTGAGAGGTGTTCTGTGTTAGTTACCTTGACAGTGAGTGAGAGGTGGTCTGTGTTAGTTACCTTGACAGTGAGTGAGAGGTGTTCTGTGTTAGTTACCTTGACAGTGAGTGAGAGGTGTTCTGTGTTAGTACCTTGACAGTGAGTGAGAGATGGTCTGTGTTAGTTACCTTGACAGTGAGTGAGAGGTGGTCTGTGTTGGGTTACCTTGACAGCTAGTGAGAGGTGGTCTGTGTTAGTTACCTTGACAGTGAGTGAGAGGTGGTCTGTGTTAGTTACCTTGACAGTGAGTGAGAGGTGGTCTGTGTTAGTTACCTTGACAGTGAGTGAGAGGTGGTCTGTGTTAGTTACCTTGACAGTGAGTGAGAGGTGGTCTGTGTTGGGTTACCTTGACAGCTAGTGAGAGGTGGTCTGTGTTAGTTACCTTGACAGTGAGTGAGAGGTGTTCTGTGTTAGTTACCTTGACAGTGAGTGAGAGGTGGTCTGTGTTAGTTACCTTGACAGCGAGTGAGAGGTGTTCTGTGTTAGTTACCTTGACAGTGAGTGAGAGGTGGTCTGTGTTAGTTACCTTGACAGTGAGTGAGAGGTGTTCTGTGTTAGTTACCTTGACAGTGAGTGAGAGGTGGTCTGTGTTGGGTTACCTTGACAGCTAGTGAGAGGTGGTCTGTGTTAGTTACCTTGACAGTGAGTGAGAGGTGGTCTGTGTTAGTTACCTTGACAGTGAGTGATAGGTGTTCTGTGTTAGTTACCTTGACAGCGAGTGAGAGGTGGTCTGTGTTAGTTACCTTGACAGTGAGTGAGAGGTGGTCTGTGTTAGTTACCTTGACAGCGAGTGAGAGGTGTTCTGTGTTAGTTACCTTGACAGTGAGTGAGAGGTGGTCTGTGTTAGTTACCTTGACAGTGAGTGAGAGGTGGTCTGTGTTAGTTACCTTGACAGTGAGTGAGAGGTGTTCTGTGTTAGTTACCTTGACAGTGAGTGAGAGGTGTTCTGTGTTAGTACCTTGACAGTGAGTGAGAGATGGTCTGTGTTAGTTACCTTGACAGTGAGTGAGAGGTGGTCTGTGTTGGGTTACCTTGACAGCTAGTGAGAGGTGGTCTGTGTTAGTTACCTTGACAGTGAGTGAGAGGTGTTCTGTGTTAGTTACCTTGACAGTGAGTGAGAGGTGTTCTGTGTTAGTTACCTTGACAGTGAGTGAGAGATGGTCTGTGTTAGTTACCTTGACAGTGAGTGAGAGATGGTCTGTGTTAGTTACCTTGACAGTGAGTGAGAGGTGGTCTGTGTTGGGTTACCTTGACAGCTAGTGAGAGGTGGTCTGTGTTAGTTACCTTGACAGTGAGTGAGAGGTGGTCTGTGTTAGTTACCTTGACAGTGAGTGAGAGGTGGTCTGTGTTAGTTACCTTGACAGTGAGTGAGAGGTGGTCTGTGTTAGTTACCTTGACAGCGAGTGAGAGGTGTTCTGTGTTAGTTACCTTGACAGTGAGTGAGAGGTGTTCTGTGTTAGTTACCTTGACAGTGAGTGAGAGGTGTTCTGTGTTAGTTACCTTGACAGTGAGTGAGAGGTGGTCTGTGTTGGGTTACCTTGACAGTGAGTGAGAGGTGGTCTCTGAGGAAGGTCTCGTCGTCTCTGATCTTCTCCATCTCTGCCTCCAGTTCCTCTCTCTGCAGACCAGCCTGCTGCTGTATCTGGTCCATCTCTCTAATGAGCTCCGACCTGACAGACACCAGCTTCTCCCTGTGTTCCTGCTCCAGCTTTCTACAATACACACACAGAGACAGAGGAGGCAATTATATTTCATTCAATTAAATGCAATTTATCCCCTCTATTTTTCCCCAGAGGTAATGGTTAGTTTACAAGTAATATTCTCTACACAACAACAGTAAACAGACATCAATGTCTGGAGAGACAAGGTCATAGGCCCATAGAAGAGGAAGGTCATAGGCCCATAGAAGAGGAAGGTCATAGGCCCAAAGAAGAGGAAGGTCATAGGCCCATAGAAGAGGAAGGTCATAGGCCCAAAGAAGAGGAAGGTCATAGGCCCATAGAAGAGGAAGGTCATAGGCCCAAAGAAGAGGAAGGTCATAGGCCCATAGAAGAGGAAGGTCATAGGCCCATAGAAGAGGAAGGTCATAGGCCCATAGAAGAGGAAGGTCATAGGCCCATAGAAGAGGAAGGTCATAGGCCCAAAGAAGAGGAAGGTCATATGCCCATAGAAGAGGAAGGTCATAGGCCCATAGAAGAGGAAGGTCATAGGCCCATAGAAGAGGAAGGTCATAGGCCCATAGAAGAGGAAGATCATAGGCCCATAGAAGAGGAAGATCATAGGCCCATAGAAGAGGAAGGTCATAGGCCCAAAGAAGAGGAAGGTCATAGGCCCAAAGAAGAGGAAGGTCATAGGCCCATAGAAGAGGAAGGTCATAGGCCCAAAGAAGAGGAAGGTCATAGGCCCATAGAAGAGGAAGGTCATAGGCCCATAGAAGAGGAAGGTCATAGGCCCATAGAAGAGGAAGGTCATAGGCCCATAGAAGAGGAAGGTCATAGGCCCATAGAAGAGGAAGGTCATAGGCCCATAGAAGAGGAAGGTGTGTGAATGTGTGTGTGGCGTGTTCCCTGAGGTTGAGGTCATTCATACGTCCGATGGCAGAGTGATGCTGTGTGTGTGTGTGTGTGTGTGTGTGTGTGTGTGTGTGTGTGTGTGTGTGTGTGTGTGTGTGTGGCGTGTTACCTGAGGTTGAGGTCATTCATTCGTTCGATGGCAGAGTGATGCTCGTCCACCTCAGTAGCCAGCTGGGTTTTTAACTTCTCTGCTTTCTCCAGGTCAGAACGAATCTTCACTTTCTCTCTGAGCTCCCGATCTACACGCTCACTGAAGAACCATGGAAGATAAATCAACCTCTGTGTACCCATAAACCCAGTGTTACATGATCATTGATCCTGAGGACTCTTTCTCTCTGAGCTCCCGATCTACACGCTCACTGAAGTTAATCAAATATTTACATAACTGAAATACTATTATGAATGACATGTACTTATGAGACCGGCTGTAGCATCTCTACGAAAAGAGAAAGAGGGTGTTAGGGTACAAAAAAAACACTAACTCCCTGGCCTTTCTTGAAGTAACACTTGCACTAGTCTTGTTCTACTAGCTCTGACTGCCTGGGATATGTGGTTGTCCCACCTAGCTATCTGAAGATGAATGCACCAACTGTAAGTCTCTCTGGATAAGAGCATCTGCTAAATTACTAAAATGCTGTAGATATGTGAGAGTGTATATGCATTCCACTAAGACTGTCAGCACCAGTGTAGGTTTCTACTCATACTCACAGTAGGTACTGATCTCAGCCTTAATGCTGGCCAGTAGGTACTGATCTCAGCCTTAATGCTGGCCAGTAGGTACTGATCTCAGCCTTAATGCTGGCCAGTAGGAGTCTGATCTCAGCCTTAATGCTGGCCAGTAGGTACTGATCTCAGCCTTAATGCTGGCCAGTAGGTACTGATCTCAGCCTTAATGCTGGCGAGTAGGAATCTGATCTCAGCCTTAATGCTGGCCAGTAGGTACTGATCTCAGCCTTAATGCTGGCCAGTAGGTTTCTCCTCATACTCACAGTAGGTACTGATCTCATCCTTAAAGCTGGCCAGTAGGTACTGATCTCAGCCTTAATGCTGGCCAGAAGGTACTGATCTCAGCCTTAATGCTGGCCAGTAGGTACTGATCTCAGCCTTAATGCTGGCCAGTAGGAGTCTGATCTCAGCCTTAATGCTGGCCAGTAGGTACTGATCTCAGCCTTAATGCTGGCCAGTAGGTACTGATCTCAGCCTTAAAGCTGGCCAGTAGGAATCTGATCTCAGCCTTAAAGCTGGCCAGTAGGAGTCTGATCTCAGCCTTAAAGCTGGCCAGTAGGTACTGATCTCAGCCTTAATGCTGGCCAGTAGGTACTGATCTCAGCCTTAATGCTGGCCAGTAGGTACTGATCTCAGCCTTAAAGCTGGCCAGTAGGAGTCTGATCTCAGCCTTAATGCTGGCCAGTAGGTACTGATCTCAGCCTTAATGCTGGCCAGTAGGTACTGATCTCAGCCTTAAAGCTGGCCAGTAGGTACTGATCTCAGCCTTAAAGCTGGCCAGTAGGAGTCTGATCTCAGCCTTAAAGCTGGCCAGTAGGAGTCTGATCTCAGCCTTAAAGCTGGCCAGTAGGTACTGATCTCAGCCTTAATGCTGGCCAGTAGGTACTGATCTCAGCCTTAATGCTGGCCAGTAGGTACTGATCTCAGCCTTAATGCTGGCCAGTAGGAGTCTGATCTCAGCCTTAATGCTGGCCAGTAGGTACTGATCTCAGCCTTAATGCTGGCCAGTAGGTACTGATCTCAGCCTTAATGCTGGGCAGTAGGTACTGATCTCAGCCTTAATGCTGGCGAGTAGGAATCTGATCTCAGCCTTAATGCTGGCCAGTAGGTACTGATCTCAGCCTTAATGCTGGCCAGTAGGTACTGATCTCAGCCTTAATGCTGGCCAGTAGGTTTCTCCTCATACTCACAGTAGGTACTGATCTCATCCTTAAAGCTGGCCAGTAGGTACTGATCTCAGCCTTAATGCTGGCCAGAAGGTACTGATCTCAGCCTTAATGCTGGCCAGTAGGTACTGATCTCAGCCTTAATGCTGGCCAGTAGGAGTCTGATCTCAGCCTTAATGCTGGCCAGTAGGTACTGATCTCAGCCTTAATGCTGGCCAGTAGGTACTGATCTCAGCCTTAATGCTGGGCAGTAGGTACTGATCTCAGCCTTAATGCTGGCGAGTAGGAATCTGATCTCAGCCTTAATGCTGGCCAGTAGGTACTGATCTCAGCCTTAATGCTGGCCAGTAGGTTTCTCCTCATACTCACAGTAGGTACTGATCTCATCCTTAAAGCTGGCCAGTAGGTACTGATCTCAGCCTTAATGCTGGCCAGAAGGTACTGATCTCAGCCTTAATGCTGGCCAGTAGGTACTGATCTCAGCCTTAATGCTGGCCAGTAGGAGTCTGATCTCAGCCTTAATGCTGGCCAGTAGGTACTGATCTCAGCCTTAATGCTGGCCAGTAGGTACTGATCTCAGCCTTAAAGCTGGCCAGTAGGAATCTGATCTCAGCCTTAAAGCTGGCCAGTAGGAGTCTGATCTCAGCCTTAAAGCTGGCCAGTAGGTACTGATCTCAGCCTTAATGCTGGCCAGTAGGTACTGATCTCAGCCTTAATGCTGGCCAGTAGGTACTGATCTCAGCCTTAAAGCTGGCCAGTAGGAGTCTGATCTCAGCCTTAATGCTGGCCAGTAGGTACTGATCTCAGCCTTAATGCTGGCCAGTAGGTACTGATCTCAGCCTTAAAGCTGGCCAGTAGGTACTGATCTCAGCCTTAAAGCTGGCCAGTAGGAGTCTGATCTCAGCCTTAATGCTGGCCAGTAGGTACTGATCTCAGCCTTAAAGCTGGCCAGTAGGAATCTGATCTCAGCCTTAAAGCTGGCCAGTAGGAGTCTGATCTCAGCCTTAAAGCTGGCCAGTAGGAGTCTGATCTCAGCCCTAATGCTGGCCAGTAGGTACTGATCTCAGCCTTAATGCTGGCCAGTAGGAGTCTGATCTCAGCCTTAATGCTGGCCAGTAGGTACTGATCTCAGCCTTAATGCTGGCCAGTAGGTACTGATCTCAGCCTTAATGCTGGGCAGTAGGTACTGATCTCAGCCTTAATGCTGGCGAGTAGGAATCTGATCTCAGCCTTAATGCTGGCCAGTAGGTACTGATCTCAGCCTTAATGCTGGCCAGTAGGTACTGATCTCAGCCTTAATGCTGGCCAGTAGGTTTCTCCTCATACTCACAGTAGGTACTGATCTCATCCTTAAAGCTGGCCAGTAGGTACTGATCTCAGCCTTAATGCTGGCCAGAAGGTACTGATCTCAGCCTTAATGCTGGCCAGTAGGTACTGATCTCAGCCTTAATGCTGGCGAGTAGGAATCTGATCTCAGCCTTAATGCTGGCCAGTAGGTACTGATCTCAGCCTTAATGCTGGCCAGTAGGTTTCTCCTCATACTCACAGTAGGTACTGATCTCATCCTTAAAGCTGGCCAGTAGGTACTGATCTCAGCCTTAATGCTGGCCAGAAGGTACTGATCTCAGCCTTAATGCTGGCCAGTAGGTACTGATCTCAGCCTTAATGCTGGCCAGTAGGAGTCTGATCTCAGCCTTAATGCTGGCCAGTAGGTACTGATCTCAGCCTTAATGCTGGCCAGTAGGTACTGATCTCAGCCTTAAAGCTGGCCAGTAGGAATCTGATCTCAGCCTTAAAGCTGGCCAGTAGGAGTCTGATCTCAGCCTTAAAGCTGGCCAGTAGGTACTGATCTCAGCCTTAATGCTGGCCAGTAGGTACTGATCTCAGCCTTAATGCTGGCCAGTAGGTACTGATCTCAGCCTTAAAGCTGGCCAGTAGGAGTCTGATCTCAGCCTTAATGCTGGCCAGTAGGTACTGATCTCAGCCTTAATGCTGGCCAGTAGGTACTGATCTCAGCCTTAAAGCTGGCCAGTAGGTACTGATCTCAGCCTTAAAGCTGGCCAGTAGGAGTCTGATCTCAGCCTTAAAGCTGGCCAGTAGGAGTCTGATCTCAGCCTTAAAGCTGGCCAGTAGGTACTGATCTCAGCCTTAATGCTGGCCAGTAGGTACTGATCTCAGCCTTAATGCTGGCCAGTAGGTACTGATCTCAGCCTTAATGCTGGCCAGTAGGTACTGATCTCAGCCTTAAAGCTGGCCAGTAGGTACTGATCTCAGCCTTAATGCTGGCCAGTAGGTACTGATCTCAGCCTTAATGCTGGCCAGTAGGTACTGATCTCAGCCTTAATGCTGGCCAGTAGGTACTGATTTCAGCCTTAATGCTGGCCAGTAGGTACTGATCTCAGCCTTAAAGCTGGCCAGTAGGAGTCTGATCTCAGCCTTAAAGCTGGCCAGTAGGAGTCTGATCTCAGCCTTAATGCTGGCCAGTAGGTACTGATCTCAGCCTTAAAGCTGGCCAGTAGGAATCTGATCTCAGCCTTAAAGCTGGCCAGTAGGAGTCTGATCTCAGCCTTAAAGCTGGCCAGTAGGAGTCTGATCTCAGCCTTAAAGCTGGCCAGTAGGAGTCTGATCTCAGCCTTAATGCTGGCCAGTAGGTACTGATCTCAGCCTTAAAGCTGGCCAGTAGGAATCTGATCTCAGCCTTAAAGCTGGCCAGTAGGAGTCTGATCTCAGCCTTAAAGCTGGCCAGTAGGAGTCTGATCTCAGCCCCAATGCTGGCCAGTAGGTACTGATCTCAGCCTTAATGCTGGCCAGTAGGAGTCTGATCTCAGCCTTAATGCTGGCCAGTAGGTTTCTCCTCATACTCACAGTAGGTATCGGATCTCAGCCTTAAAGCTGGCCAGTGCAGCCCGGTGGATCCCATTCTTGGTCATGAGGAGCTCGTTCTCCAGAGCCACAGTCAGCTCACCGAGGTTCACTTTGCCCTCCAGGTCAAAATCCAAGGCCTACAGCACAAATATAGACAGAGACACGTCAAAATCCAAGGCCTACAGCACAAACATAGACAGAGACACGTCAAAATCCAAGGCCTACAGCACAAATATAGACAGAGACACGTCAAAATCCAAGGCCTACAGCACAAACATAGACAGAGACACGTCAAAATCCAAGGCCTACAGCACAAACATAGACAGAGACACGTCAAAATCCAAGGCCTACAGCACAATATAGACAGAGACACGTCAAAATCCAGGCCTACAGCACAAATATAGACAGAGACACGTCAAAATCCAAGGCCTACAGCACAAATATAGACAGAGACACGTCAAAATCCAAGGCCTACAGCACAAACATAGACAGAGACACGTCAAAATCCAAGGCCTACAGCACAAATATAGACAGAGACACTTACAGTGTCAACATTCTCAAGCCAACAAAATAAAAACACTGACTGAAGTGTCAAAAACATATGCCCCCCCCCCCCCCCCCCCCCCCCCCCCCCCCCCCCCCCAGAATGAGAGGTAAGATGTTATCACCTGCAGTATCTCAGAGCTGTTCTCGATGCCCTCCTCCGTCCAGGCATCCAGGACGTCCTCAGCGGGGGTGGACCCTGTCCCATCGTCCAGAGTAGAGAACAGACGCATCCCGATGGTACTCGTCATAGCGCTGGTTCTACGGCCCGTCTCATCGAATGGCTGCAAGGAGAGATGGGGGACACCTCTTAAATATTACTAGATACTACAGCAAGATACTGTATGTGTACTTGTCACTGCATTGGTGTGTGGCAGTATCTATTTTAATTGTCTAATACATACATACATTCATTTGTTAGTTCATTCATTCAATAATTAATTCATTCATTTGTTAGCTCATTCATTCAATCCTTCATCCATCCATTTACTAATTCAAGAGTGACTCTTGAAATTTTTTTTAAAAAATCAGGAGTTTGGAAAGAAACCACTGGGGTTGAAAAGTAATAAATATATATATAAAAAATTAAAAAACATGGGGGATTGGAAGTGATGCAGACAATTACATTGATAGAAGATACAATCTATCTGCAATATTAAGCTGATCCATCCCCCCCCCAAAAAAAAAATAGAAAAAAAAGAAAAAAGAAAAAGAAACCACTAAAACGTGGTACAGATGTCTTGCTTTAACATGAGAACTAGACATAAGATGGGGGGGGGCTTACTGTACCTGTGAGGAGTGTAGTCTTTTGAGCTGTCTGTAAGGTGTGGAGGCAGAGGGGGTGGGGGGCTTGGCGTGGTTCAGAACCCAGGAAGCAAACGCCTGAACGCTCATTATCTCATTAACACTTAGAACCTGGAGGACATCCTCCGTCACCTGGAGACAACAACAATCAGAAACATTTCCCAGCATCCTACTCAGACTCTCAAACCTCCACTTGGGTTACGTCCACCCTATTCCCTGTCTAATTCACTACAGGAAATAGGGAGACATTTCTTACACGGTCCTAATTAGCTCCCTACCCCTCTCCTGGGCCCTAAACCCTTCCATGTTCGCAGATCTAAAAGGATATGGATAGGCATCAGCAGTGTAGTGGTGGATCTGTAAGGTCTGGATATGCATCAGCAGTGTAGTGGTGGATCTGTAAGGTCTGGATAGGCATCAGCAGTGTAGTGGTGGATCTGTAGGGTCTGGATAGGTATAATCAGTGTAGTGGTGGAGCTTCCACCGTATTGCTTCCACCTTACAGATCAGCAAACATGGAAGGGTTTGGGGGCCAAGGGGATGGGGTAAGGAGGAAACTGGGACCAGCTGATCCCAGATGGTCACCGACTGAACTTCGGTTGAATCCAAAATGGCACATCTACTGTAATGCACTATAAAGATTAGGGTAGCATTTCAGACGATCTCTTTCCTCACCTCCAGCCCCAGGTGGTCACAGAGAGCCAGTAGCTCATGGTGGCTGGCACATCCATCCCAGGGCATAGCCAGCTCCTCGCAGGCCTCCCGAAACCTCTCCTCCAGGCGGTCTGAGAGGGGTGTGATAGAGCCCCGCGGGGTAGAGGGCTCATCAGGGTTCCACAGGTGCAGCTGGCCTACACACACGCACACACACACACACACACACACACAATGATAAGACTTGATTTAAGACCCTGGCTCCCTGAGCATAGGCGTTGAATGTCCTCCATCTCACTCCTATGATCAGGGTCAGTTCAAATTGATTGTTTTATATTTTCCCCTTTTTCTCCCCAATTTAGTGATTTCCAAATGGTGGTTACATTCTTGTCCCATCGCTGCAACTCCCCTACGGACTCGGGAGAGGCGAAGGTCGAGAGCCATGCGTCCTCCGAAACACGACCCTGCTTCTTGACACACTGCTCGCTTAACCCGGAAGCCAGCCGCACCAATGTGTCGGAGGAAACACCGTCCAGCTTGACGACCAAAGTCAGCTTGCAGGCGCCCGCCTCGCCACAAGGATTTGCTGAAACGCGATGGGACAAGGAAATCCCAACCGGCCATACCCTCCCCTAACCCGGACGACGCTGGGCCAATTGTGTGCCGCCTCATGGGTCTCCCGGTCACGGCCGGCTGTGACACAGCCTGGGATCGAACCCGGGTCTGTAGTGACGCCTCAAGCACTGCAATGCAATGCCTTAGACCACTGCACCACTTGGGAGGCCTGGGGTCAGTTCTACTTGATAATGGAGTTTCAATTTACTTTCTAAATTCGAATGGAATTGACCCCAAAGCTGACAATGATGAATGGCTATCTAGTGGAAATGTTGGATACAGCAGGTGTAAACAGTAGAGTGAAATGCTTACTTGCATGCTTTTCCTTAAATGTAGTAACTTTACAATAAATGCAGTAACTTTACAATAAATGCAGTAACTTTACAATAAATGCAGTAACTTTACAATGAATGCAGTAACTTTACAGTAACTTTACACCCACCTTCTGCCTCGTACTCTTCCGTTCCCCTTTCAAGAGCGTTCCAGCGCTGTGGAAGGAGGAAACAGATAACAACAACGTTAGTTTAAGTGAGTAAACCATCACTTCAAAAAAAAACACAGAGACGAGACAACCCACTTCCTCGTGTGCTAGTGAGCAGTCTCCAAAACGTCGTTGTTGCATCAACCGAGGTTGAGACTAGGTTGGGTTGGGTGGGGACAGCAGCAGGCAGGGTTTGTGTGTCCGACCAAACAGGACAACAGAGCTAATGTGACGGCACGGGCCCCTCTGAAGGTCAAAGGTGAAGCTAGAGATGGTAAACCAGAACAGAGAATTAAAAGAGAGAGAGACCGATCCAAAGCGGACTAAAACCCTCACATTCCTCTTACTATGTTTCTCTCTCTCTCTCTCTCACCCTCTTTTTCACTCTTTTTCTTTTTTGCATTTTAAGGACAATTCTCAAAGTGAGCCTAAAAAAGTTAGATTTTGACTTGAACAATCTACATCATAGACATATGTATGCTGCATCACAAAATATATAAGGTCACTTTTTACAAACTAAAAGAGTGAAATTGGTTGTAATAATAAATATGGTAAATAGCAGAATAATAATTCCACAGTTCCCATATGTCTGAAGAGTGATTTCAGGAAGGTGGTTAGAGATCTATTGTGTTGTGGCAGTGTTCAGGCGTCTAAAGCCATCTATTGTCTGGGAAGGAAACACAGTGAAGGAATGAAGAACAGATGGGTCTCCGCTACTCTTTATTCCATGTCTGGGTGTATAGGCATCTGTGAGGGAGGGGTGGAGGGCTTAGCCCATTGTTCCACTGTCAGACACCAAAAAAAGCCCTTCCCAAATCAGGAAGAGCCCCCCGACCCTTCCTCATCTGCTGGTGCACCAGGCTGGAGGCTGGACATTGTTCAACGCAACCCACGGCAGCATCCCAAATGGCACCCTATTCCCTATATAGTGCACTACTTTAGACCAGAGAATGGCACCCTATTCCCTATATAGTGCACTACTTTAGACCAGGGCTCTGGTCAAAAGTAGTGCACTGTATAGGATCAAAATTAGTGCACTATATAGGGAATTGGGTGCCATTACATTTACATTGGAGTAATTTAGCGGACACTCCTACGCAGAGCAACTTACAGGAGCAATTATGGTTAAGTGTCTTGCTCAAGGGCACAGACAGATCTTTCACCCAAAGTCGACTCAGGATTCGAACCTTTCGGTTTACTGTTCCCCAACGCTCTTAAACCGCTAAGCTACCTGGGAAACAATCCAAGATGCCTGCCGCCCTGTAGGGAAACCAATCCAAGATTAGTCGCTTCGTCCTTGTCAGTGTCTCACCCTGTTTGTCCTTGTCAGTGTCTCACAATGTTTGTCCTTGCCAGTGTCAACCAACCTCCATCTACAGAGAGTAGTCTCAATTTACCAACCTACATATACAGAGAGAGCAGCCTTGGTATGCAGTCTGCATACCATCATAAATATTTGGGGGCATTTGTTATAGAGTGGAAAATGTGAAAGTCCACACTAATGCAGTAAAGGCCTACACAACAGACCAGAGATACACCACATGACCAAAAGTATGTGGACCCCTGCTCGTCGAACATTCATTCCAAAATCATGGGCATTAATATGGAGTTGGTCCCCCGTTTGCTGCTATAACAGCCTCCACTCTTCTGGGAAGGCTTTCCACTAGATGTTGGAACATTGCTGCGGGGGACTTGCTTCCATTCAGCCACAAGAGCATTAGTGAGGTCGGGAACTGATGTTTGGGCGATTAGGCCTGGCTCGCAGTCGGCGTTCCAATTCATCCTAAAGGTGTTTTGATGGGGTTGAGGTCAGGGCTCTGTGCAGGCCAGTCAAGTTCTTCCACACCAATCTCGACAAACCATTTCTGTATGGACCTCGCTTTGTGCACGGGGGCATTGTCATGCTGAAACAGGAAAGGGGCCTTCCCCAAACTCTTACCACAAAGTTGGAAGCACAGAATCGTCTAGAATGTCATTCTATGCTGTAGGTGTTAAGATTTCCCTTCACTGGAAACTAAGGGGCCTAGCCGAACCATAATAATAATAATAATAATAATAATATGCCATTTAGCAGACGCTTTTATCCAAAGCGACTTACAGTCATGAGTGCATACATTTTTTACATATGGGTGGTCCCGGGGATCGAACCCACTACCCTGGTGTTACAAGCGCCATGCTCTACCAATTGAGCTACAGAGGACCAAAACCATGGAAAAAAAGCCCCAGACCATTATTCCCTCGTCAACCAAACTTTACAGTTGGCACTAGTGCATTGGGGCAGGTAGCGTTCTCCTGGCCATCCGCCAAACCCAGATTTGTCTGTCGGACTGCCAGATGGTGAAGCGTGATTCATCACATCCAGAGAACGCATTTCAACTGCTCCAGAGTTCCAATGGTGGCGAGCTTTACACCACTCCAGCCTACACTTGGCATTGCGCATGGGTGATCTTAGGTTTGTGTGAGGCTGCTTGGCCATGGAAACCCCTTTCACAAAGCTCTCGACTAACAGTTATTGTGCTGACGTTGCCTTCCAGAGGCAGTTTGGAACTCGGTAGTGAGTATTGTCCCGTTCTGGTGAGCTTGTGTGGCCTAGACGTCTCCACTTCACAATAACAGACTTACAGTTGACCAGGGCAGCTTAGCAGGGTCTCTCCTCTCTCCTCTTCCCCATGACTCTCTCTCCCTCTCCTCTCGGTCTCTCCTCCTTCCCCATGATTCTCTCTCCCCTCTCCCTCTCGGTCTCTCCTCCTTTCCCAATGACTCTCTTCTCCCATCCTCTTTCTCTCTCCTCTCCCATGACTCTCTCTCTCTCCCTCTCTACTCTCCTCCATGACTCTCTCTCTCCCTCTCGGTCCCGGTCTCATCCCTGGCCTGTCTCAACATGAAGATGTGGCGTGGGATAAAACACTGTGGTTGCCTTGACCACCACAACACTGGCAGCATAGTGAAACACACACACACACACACCAAGGTTTAAAGTTCCCTGGTTCCTATGGTTAAAAGTTCCCTGGTTCCTATGGTTAAAGTTCCCTGGTTCCTATGGTTAAAGTTTCCTGGTTTCCCATGGTTTTATTCCGTGTACCCACCGCATGATATTATCAATCAAATTTTTGAGGGTATTGCTTTAAAATGCTGAATCATTGGTAGGGTTGGGGGCCCACAGTTCAGCAACCCACAAAAAAAGAGGTGGGTTTTTTCCCGCTCAAAATACAGTAAAGGCTTACCAACCCACCAAAAAACCCTTGGTTAAAATTTTTTCCTGGTTTATGGCATACGTTAACATTTCCCGTTATTAATATATAGGAAAAAGTAGATAGCCAAAAGTTGAAAAATAGCCAGAGGGGAGCCTTGTGAAGGGTCGGGGGTTTGAGGTGTTGGGTGTGTTTTTTGTGGGGGACATTTAATTTTTAAAAATCTGGGGTTGCTAGCACTAAAGGGGTTTTTAAGAAAAAACCCAACCCCTCCTATCAGCCCTTTAAAAACCCTTCCCCCCAAGCCCGGGGAAAAAACCCCAAACAGCCCAAGGGGAAAAAGGGGAGACCCAGGCAAGGGGATAGACCGGAAAAAGAGGAGCCCAGGAAAAGAGGAGGACGAGGACGAGAGGGGAGAACGAGGACAGAGAGAGAGACAGGGAAAAGGAGACCCGGGGCGAGAGGGAGAGAGAAAACCGGGAGGGAAGAGAGAGGGGGAAGGGGAGAGAGGACGAGGCCGGGGGAGAGGAGGGGAAGACACAGGGGCAGAGAGAGAGAAGGAAAAGACACGAGGACAAGAGAGAGAGCCCGGGCAAGAAGAAGCCCGGGGCAAAAGAGAGAGAGGACCGGGAAAAGGAAGAGAGAACCCGGGGCAAAAGAGAGAGGAGACCGGACAGAGAAGGGGGAGGGGGAGAGAAGGGGAAAAAGAGAAGAGAGGGGACCGGGAAAAGGAAGAGGAAACCCGGGGCAAAACGAGGAGAGAGACCCGGGGCAAGAAAAAGGGGGAGAGAGGGCCGGGGCAGGGGAGAAGAGACCGGGACCCGAGAGGGGGGAGGGGAAAACCGGGACCCAGAGAGGGGAGAGGGCCGTGACAGAGAGAAGAGAGACCGGACCTAAGAGAAGAGAGAGAGACCGCGGGACAGAGAAGACCGGTACAGAGAGAGACCGGGACTGAGAGCAAGATAAACCGGGCACAGAGAGAGAGATAGCCGTGACATAGAGAGAAGAGAACCGGGGCACAGAGAGAGAGAGGACGCGGGACAAGAGAGAGAGAGACCGGGACAGAGAGATACCGTAGCGGAGGACCGGGACAGAGTATATACCGGGAACAGAGATGAGAGAGAGACCGGGTACAGAGAATAGAGAGAGACCTGTACAGAGAAGAGAGAGACCGGTACATAGAGAGAGAGAGAGACCAGGAAGAGATAGACCAGGACAGAGAGAGAGAATGACGCAGGTAGCCTGTAGATACAGGGCAGTTCCTGGTACAAAAAAAAAGCGGTCATGAGGGTGTAGATGAATGTACCTATAGTCCATAGTCAAAACGCTTGACATGTAGAAAGCAGAGAGGAATCATGGAATATGCAGAAACAATGTTACATCAACTGGTATTTTAGTTGATAGGTTACATGTCTTTATCATTGTGTGTTTGCAGTAAAAGGACAACCGAAGCCCAACAACGATCTGACTGGTAGAACGTGGTGACACCGTATGTAATTAATAACATCAAGAGTTGAAACTGAGGTGACGAATATGAGTACATCCATCCATTCTCAGTAGGCAGGTGTTTACCTCACGTTTCCTGGGCACAGAAGAGTCTTCGTGATCTTCTGGGTCCTGCCCTGTAGCGTCTGAGAAGTCTGCGATGGTCTCTGTGAACTCTGGTGTAGAGTGTCGGCCATAGCGTTTACTACCCCGTACAAACTTAGCTTGGACCGGTGAGTCTGTGGAGAAGGAGAAGGTGATGAGAATTAAATTAAAATCCACGTCTAAACCTTAGCTATTGTCTCCGGTCACTACTGCTCCAAAAAGGTTCATCGTTTAATAAAGCTACATTTTTCCTTTTAGGATGAATGAAAAACCTTGATCGGACACAGGTAGTCAATGTTTTCACTTTCATTCAGACACAGACTGTGACTCAGAACACATTAGCTCAACTGACAGGGATTTGAAGTGCAGTCATATTTAAGGTAGGGTGATTTCCTGGTCCTAAAAGTTAAACACTGACTCACCGCTCTCTAACTCTCTGGCACCGATTTAGTAATCCTTCTTAAGTAAGTCTTACCTGCCTCCTCTCTCTCTCTACCCTCTCTTTTGGTAACGTAACGCCAAGATAAGTGCAACGTAACTACAAAGCCCAAGTTCATTCACAGCCTCACCCGTCTCTTCCCCTCTACTCCTCCCTGGAGTCACCCCCTCCTCCCCTCTACTCCTCCCTGGAGTCACCCTCCTCCCCTCTCCTCCTCCCTGGAGTCACCCTCCTCCCCTCTCCTCCTCCCTGGAGTCACCCCCTCCTCCCCTCTCCTCCCACCTGGAGTCACCCTACTCCCCTCTCCTTCACCCTGGAGTCACCCACCTCGCCCCTCCTCCGCCCTGGAGTCACCCCCTCCTCCCCCCTAGAGTCACCCTCCTCCGCCCTGGAGTCACCCTCCTCTCCCATGGACTCGGTCACACTGCCTGGCTAGATTTTCTGCCCTCACCTCCCTCCCCCATCCTCCCTCGCCTCTCCCCTTGAGTCAACCACCCCCCTCCACTCTGTCACACTGCCTGGCCTCCCCCTCCCCCCTCCTCTCCCCTCCCTGTCACACTGCCTGGCCTCCCCCTCCCTGGCCTCTCCACCCTCCCTCCCCCCCCCCCTCCCTCCCTCCCACTGCCTGGCCTCCCCCTCCCCCCCTCCCCCCTCCCCCCCAAACCTGGCCTCTCCCTCCCCCTCCCCTCTCAACCTCCCTCCCCTCTCTCCCTCCCCTCCCTCCCTCCCCTCCCCCCATCCCTGGCCTCTCCCTCCCTCCCCCCTCCCTGGCAGGGCTGTAGTGGAGTTTCTCTGCCTTCACTGACACTCAGGTGGCTTAATACATCTGATCCGGTGAGAACCAGACTGTAAATACAGAACAGCCAGCACCGTTTGAACCCCGGAGTACAGCTTGTGTTACATCACAACCCAAACAGGGCACTTAAGGACTCTTCATTTAATACAATGCTTATTCAAGCGAGACAGAACAGATCCCTAAACTGTATGGTCATAGGAATCTAAATACACATGAAAGATAATACATTGATTCCATGTTCCGTACCAGCAATGACAGCTCAAACAGCAGTTTCAGTCCGTTGGTCGTTTACGGCCCATGATGTATTTGGCTTTGTCCAAGTATGTTGGGTTTAATACAGACGCGGCATACAGCTCTATATTTGACATGGTTAGTATTGTACAGTGTTGTAGTACTCGAGTCCGGGACTCGGACTTGAGTCACGATTTTCATGACTCATGACTTGACTTACTCAACCAGTGGTGATTCGGACTTGGACTCGACCACTTGTGACTTTATTGTCAGAAAATCTCTCGGTTGCATACTTCAACATGCTAGCTGAAGCAGCAGATGTTAGAGAACTGGATGATCTATTTAGCTTTACAACACTGTCATGAAATCTAGCTTAAAAAATGGTTAAACAACAACTTTTGGCACTGCGAAGAGACTCGTAACTCGAATATAAAGGACTTCTTCAATGCATTGCTATTCATTCCAGAAATACAACTGCATCCATAGCCTAATTGGATTGGTATCCTCACTCCTCAGCTTGAAATGCCTCCTTTCTGAATCGTTCAGTGGGGTCTCTCTCTAACATATCATTAACTTTATATCCAAAAATGTAGGATTTCGTAACCTAATACATCCAATAATAAGCACCGAGCTCTGTTGACATAGCTTTTAAGAGAAACCTGCACCGCTAAGGCATTGTCAAGAGGGAGGTCACACGTGCTTGGGAGACAGAGGACGCGAGATCAAGGACCAGTGAGGGTTTGCTATACCGTTGAAAAAGAACAGCGACGTCTGTCACGAATCCTTCCTTACCTGGTGGTAGCAGAGTGGATGTTGTCTCCTGACTGTGTGCAGGTGTTGCTGCTACGTTGGTCGATAACACCAGAATCAGGGCATTCTTGAACTGGTCAAAATCAACCTGCAACACAAAATACAAAATGTTTCATTGAGACATACAGTACACCAGTCAATAGTTTGGACACACCTACTCATTCAAGGGTTTTTCTTTATTTTTTTCCTATTTTCTACATTGTAGAATAATAGTGAAGACATAAAAACTATGAAATAACACATATGGAATCATGTAGTAACCCAAAAAGTGTTAAACAAATCTAAATGTATTTTATATTTGAGATTCTTCAAATAGCCACCCTTTGCCTTGATGACAGCTTTGGTGGTGTAAGTATTTCTGAATGTTCTCTCGTAATAAAGACGCAAGGTGTTCAACAAGTAGGAAAGCCAAAACATCACTCAGATAATAAAATAAAATAAAAATCGGTCATGACATTCCTAACAGTGAATTGCATTGAATCCTGTGAATGCAGGGTGGAGGAGGGGGGTGGCCCTGGATGACAGGGAAGGAGGACACACACACACTTCTGAAGCAGCAGCAGCTGGCCCTTGTCCAACAGTTATGGAGATTCTCTTTGTGTTCTGTTGCCAGGCGGATGACTGCTGGCTTAGGTGGGGGTTTCCTTTCTTGCTTTATTGTTGGTGGGGGGGGGGGGGTACCCTGGTCCTTTATTGTTGAGGGGGGTAGCCTGGTCCTTTATTGTTGAGGGGTACCCTGGTCCTTTATTGTTGAGGGGTACCCTGGTCCTTTATTGTTGAGGGGGGTAGCCTGGTCCTTTATTGTTGAGGGGTACCCTGGTCCTTTATTGTTGAGGGGTACCCTGGTCCTTTATTGTTGAGTGGTACCCTGGTCCTTTATTGTTGAGTGGTACCCTGGTCCTTTATTGTTGAGGGGGGTACCCTGGTCCTTTATTGTTGAGGGTACGGTCCTTATTGTGAGTGGTACCCTGGTCCTTTATTGTTGAGTGGTACCCTGGTCCTTTATTGTTGAGTGGTACCCTGGTCCTTTATTGTTGAGTGGTACCCTGGTCCTTTATTGTTGAGTGGTACCCTGGTCCTTTATTGTTGAGTGGTACCCTGGTCCTTTATTGTTGAGTGGTACCCTGGTCCTTTATTGTTGAGTGGTACCCTGGTCCTTTATTGTTGAGGGGTACCCTGGTCCTTTATTGATACTGTGAACCATCAGATCCTCCTCTCCAACCTCTCCGAGTTGGGCATCTCCGGCGCTCTTGGATTGCGTCCTACCTGACAGGTCGCTCCTACCAGGTGGCGTGGCGAGAATCTGTCTCCGCACCACGTGCTCTCACCACTGGTGTCCCCCAGGGCTCAGTTCTAGAACCTCTCCTATTCTCTCTATACACCAAGTAACATGGCTCTTTCATATCCTCACACGGTCTCTCCTATCATTGCTACACAGACGACACACAATTAATCTTCTCCTTTCCCCCTTCTGATAACCAGGTGGCGAATCGCATCTCTGCATGTCTGGCAGACATATCAGCGTGGATGTCGGATCACCACCTCAAGCTGAACCTCGGCAAGACGGAGCTGCTCTTCCTCCCGGGGAAGGACTGCCTGCTCCATGATCTCGCCATCACGGTTGACAACTCCAATGTGTCCTCCTCCCAGAGTGCAAAGAACCTTGGCGTGAACCTGGACAACACCCTGTAGTTCTCCGCTAACATCAAAGTGGTGACCCGATCCTGCAGGTTCATGCTCTACAACATTCGCAGAGTACGACCCTACCTTACACAGAAAGCGGCACAGGTCCTAATCCAGGCACTTGTCATCTCCCGTCTGGATTACTGCAACTCGCTGTTGGCTGGGCTCCCTGCCTGTGCCATTAAACCCCTACAACTTATCCAGAACGCTGCAGCCCGTCTGGTGTTCAACCTTCCCAAGTTCTCTCACGTCACCCCGCTCCTCCGCACACTCCACTGGCTTCCAGTTGAGGCTCGCATCTACTGCAAGACCATGGTGCTTGCCTACGGAGCTGTGAGGGGAATGGCACCTCCTTACCTTCAGGCTCTGATCAGACCCTACACCCAAACGAGGGCACTACGTTCATCCACCTCTGGCCTGCTAGCTCCCCTACCACTACGGAAGCACAGTTCCCGCTCAGCCCAGTCAAAGCTATTCGCTGCTCTGGCACCCCAATGGTGGAACAAGCTCCCCCACAACGCCAGGACAGCGGAGTCACTGACCACCTTCCGGAGACACTTGAAACCCTACCTCTTTAAGGAATACCTGGAATAGTATAAAGTAATCCTTCTTCCCCCACCCACCATTAATTTTTTTTTTTTTAAAGGTGGTTATCCCACTGGCTATCATAAGTTGAATGCACCAATTTGTAAGTCTCTCTGGATAAGAGCGTCTGCTAAATGATGTAAATGTAAATGTCCTTTATTGTTGAGTGGTACCCTGGTCCTTCTTTTGATGGAGGGTACCCTGGTCCTATATTGATGGAGGGTACCCTGGTCCTATATTGATGGGGGGTAGCCTGGTCCTGTATTGTTGCGGGGTACCCTGGTCCATGGGTCGGCTTCAGTGCTTCTGCTAACACTTCCCCCTCCCCAGTCCCCACGTGTTTACCAATGCACGGACAATGACCACCCTTCCATACATTTATCCTATTCCCTACAAAGAAACTCATATATGCCACATTTGGGAGGTGGTTATGAGTAGATGTTCAATCACTCCGGCAGACCACACATATGTTTTACTCATGTTCTAAGCTGTCTGAGTATTGGTCATCGTTTTTTTAATACTCTCTCTAAAATTCAAGATATTGACCTGCAGCCTTGTCCTTTGATAGCTATATTTGGAGTTCCATCT